AACGTGATGCATGTATCAGACTATTATCCCTTTGAATCCCACGAGCACGGGGAACCTAGAAACATAATCAGTGCGTACCGGGATTCGAACCCTAATTCATAGGTTTCTGGCGTGTCCAAGGGACGCAACTCTGCGCACCGAATTGCGGTGCCTTAGACGACAGAGCCGTGTTCAAAAAGACTTATAGTAACACTGCCGTGCTCATGAAGGCTGGTGTTCATGAAGGCTGACAGTAACAATGCCGTGTTCATGAAGGCCGATAGTAACAGTGCCGTGTTCATGACGGCTGAAAGTAACAATGCCGTGTTCATTCAGGCTGATAGGAACAATGCCGTGTTCATGAAGGCTGGTATTCATGAATGCTGATAGTAACAATGCTGTGTTCATGAAGGCTGATAGTAACAATGCTGTGTTCATGAAGGCCGATAGTAACAATGCCGTGTTCATGACGGCTAATAGTAACAATGCCGTGTTCATAAAGGTTGATAGTAACACTGCCGTGTTCATGAAGGCTGGTGTTCTTGAAGGCTGATAGTAACAAAGCCGTGTTCATGAAGGCTGATAGTAACAATGCCGTGTTCATGAAGGCCGATAGTAACAATGCCGTGTTCATGAAGGCTGATAGTAACAGTGCCGTGTTCATAACGGCCGATAGTAACAATGCCGTGTTCATGAAGGCTGATAGTAACAGTGCCGTGTTCATAACGGCCGATAGTAACAATGCCGTGTTCATGAAGGCTGATAGTAACAATGCCGTGTTCATGAAGGCTGATAGTAACAATGCCGTGTTCATGAAGGCTGATAGTAACAATGACGTGTTCATGAAGGCTGATAGTAACAATGCCGTGTTCATGAAGGCTGATTGTAACAATGCCGTGTTCATAACCGCCGATAGTAACAATGCCGTGTTCATGACGGCCGACAGTAACAATGCCGTGTTCATGAAGGCTGATAGTAACAATGCCGTGTTCATGAAGGCCGATAGTAACAATGCCGTGTTCATGAAGGCCGATAGTAACAATGCCGTGTTCATGAAGGCCGATAGTAACAATGCCGTGTTCATGAAGGCTGATATTAACAGTGCCGTGTTCATAACGGCTAATAGTAACAATGCCGTGTTCATGAAGGCTGATAGTGACAATGCCGTGTTCATGAAGGCTGATAGTAACAGTGCCGTGTTCATAACGGCCGATAGTAACAATGCCGTGTTCATGAAGGCCGATAGTAACAGTGCCGTGTTCATGAAGGCTGATATTAACAATGCCGTGTTCATGAAGGCTGATAGTAACAATGCCGTGTTCATGACGGCCGATAGTAACAATGCCGTGTTCATGAAGGCTGATAGTAACTATGCCGTGTTCATGACGGCCGATAGTAACAGTGCCGTGTTCATGAAGGCTGATAGTAACAATGCCGTGTTCATAACGGCCGATAGTAATAATGCCGTGTTCATGACGGCCGATAGTAACAATGCCGTGTTCATGAAGGCTGATAGTAACAATGCCGTGTTCATAACGGCCGATAGTAACAATGCCGTGTTCATGAAGGCTGATAGTAACAGTGCCGTGTTCATAACGGCCGATAGTAACAATGCCGTGTTCATGAAGGCTGATTGTAACAATGCCGTGTTCATGAAGGCCGATAGTAACAGTGCCGTGTTCATGAAGGCTGATAGTAACAGTGCCGTGTTCATGACGGCCGATAGTAACAATGCCGTGTTCATGACGGCCGATAGTAACAATGCCGTGTTCATGAAGGCTGATAGTAACAATGCCGTGTTCATAACAGCCGATAGTAACAACGCCGTGTTCATGAAGGCTGATAGTAACAATGACGTGTTCATGAAGGCTGATAGTAACAATGCCGTGTTCATGAAGGCTGATTGTAACAATGCCGTGTTCATGAAGGCCGATAGTAACAATGCCGTGTTCATGAAGGCTGATAGTAACAGTGCCGTGTTCATGAAGGCTGATAGTAACAATGCCGTGTTCATGAAGGCTGATAGTAACAGTGCCGTGTTCATAACCGCCGATAGTAACAATGCCGTGTTCATGAAGGCCGACAGTAACAATGCCGTGTTCATGAAGGCTGATAGTAACAATGCCGTGTTCATGAAGGCTGATAGTAACAGTGCCGTGTTCATAACGGCCGATAGTAACAATGCCGTGTTCATGAAGGCCGATAGTAACAATGCCGTGTTCATGAAGGCTGATATTAACAGTGCCGTGTTCATAACGGCCGATAGTAACAATGCCGTGTTCATAACGGCCGATAGTAACAATGCCGTGTTCATGAAGGCTGATAGTAACAATGCCGTGTTCATGAAGGCTGATAGTAACAATGCCGTGTTCATGAAGGCTGATAGTAACAATGCCGTGTTCATGAAGGCTGATAGTGACAATGCCGTGTTCATGAAGGCTGATAGTAACAGTGCCATGTTCATAACGGCCGATAGTAACAATGCCGTGTTCATGAAGGCCGATAGTAACAATGCCGTGTTCATGAAGGCTGATATTAACAATGCCGTGTTCATGAAGGCTGATAGTAACAATGCCGTGTTCATGACGGCCGATAGTAACAATGCCGTGTTCATGAAGGCTGATAGTAACTATGCCGTGTTCATGACGGCCGATAGTAACAGTGCCGTGTTCATGAAGGCTGATAGTAACAATGCCGTGTTCATAACGGCCGATAGTAATAATGCCGTGTTCATGACGGCCGATAGTAACAATGCCGTGTTCATGAAGGCTGATAGTAACAATGCCGTGTTCATAACGGCCGATAGTAACAATGCCGTGTTCATGAAGGCTGATAGTAACAGTGCCGTGTTCATAACGGCCGATAGTAACAATGCCGTGTTCATGAAGGCTGATTGTAACAATGCCGTGTTCATGAAGGCCGATAGTAACAGTGCCGTGTTCATGAAGGCTGATAGTAACAGTGCCGTGTTCATGACGGCCGATAGTAACAATGCCGTGTTCATGACGGCCGATAGTAACAATGCCGTGTTCATGAAGGCTGATAGTACCAATGCCGTGTTCATAACAGCCGATAGTAACAACGCCGTGTTCATGAAGGCTGATAGTAACAGTGCCGTGTTCATAACGGCCGATAGAAACAATGCCGTGTTCATGAAGGCTGATTGTAACAATGCCGTGTTCATGAAGGCCGATAGTAACAGTGCCGTGTTCATGAAGGCCGATAGTACCAATGCCGTGTTCATGACGGCCGATAGTAACAATGCCCTGTTCATGAAGGCCGATAGTAACAATGCCGTGTTCATGAAGGCTGATAGTAACAATGCCGTGTTCATGAAGGCTGATAGTAACAATGCCGTGTTCATGACGGCCGATAGTAACAATGCCGTGTTCATAAAGGTTGATAGTAACACTGCCGTGTTCATGAAGGCTGGTGTTCTTGAAGGCTGATAGTAACAATGCCGTGTTCATGAAGACTGGTGTTCTTGAAGGCCGATAGTAACAATGCCGTGTTCATGAAGGCTGATAGTAACAATGCCGTGTTCATGAAGGCTGATAGTAACAGTGCCGTGTTCATAACGGCCGATAGTAACAATGCCGTGTTCATGAAGGCTGATAGTAACAATGCCGTGTTCATGAAGGCTGATAGTAACAATGCCGTGTTCATGAAGGCTGATAGTAACAATGACGTGTTCATGAAGGTTGATAGTAACAATGCCGTGTTCATGAAGGCTGGTATTCATGAAGGCTAATAGTAACAATGCCGTGTTCATGAAGGCTGATAGTAACAATGCCGTGTTCATGAAGACTGATGGTAACACTGCCGTGTCCATTATATGACATTAAGTGCTGTGTTCATCATTTGATAGGAACGATTCTGTGTTCTTGTAGGCTGATAGTAACAATGCCGTGTTAATAAAGTCTGCTATTAACAGTGCTAAGTTCATGATAATTGATAGTAACAGTGTCGTCTTCATGATCTAGCAGTAACAGTGTCGTGGTCATGACCTGATAGTAACAGTGTCGTGTTCATGATCTGATATTAATAGTGCCAAGTTCATGATACCTAATAGTAACAGTGTCGTGTTCATGATCTGATAGTAACAGTGTCATGTTCATGATCGATATTAACAGTGCCAAGTCCATGATAATTGATAGTAACAGTGTCGTCTTTATGATCTGATAGTAACAGTGTCGTGTTCATGATCGATATTAACAGTGCCAGGTTCATGATAATTGATAGTAACAGTGTCGTGTTCATGGTCTGATATCAACAGTGTCAAGTTCATGATAATTGATAGTTACAGTGTCGTGTTCATGATCTGGTATTGACAGTACTGTGCTCTTGATGGTTGAAAGTAACACTACCTGTTCTAAAGGGCCCGTGAAGACGCCGGGGTAGAATAGGTCTTCAGCAACCCATGCTTGGCGTAAAAGGCAACTAACGGGATCTGGTGGTCAGGCTCACTGACTTGGTTGATGCATGTCATCGTGTCCCAATTGCGTGGATCGATGCTCATGATATCAATCACTGGATTGTCTGGTCCAGACTCGATTATTTACAGACCGCCGTCATATAGCTGGAATATTGCTGATTGCGGCGTTAAACAACAAACCAACAAACCAACCAACTGTTCATAAGACTGGAGTATGTTGCTTGTAACCGGCCGTGACATAATAACGGGAGGCATGCAGCATCAGCCAAGGATGTACAACAGCTGTGGAAACCATCCCGAGCCCCTCATTTAAATTGGCCTGAATGCACTTGAAATTTAATATTTGTTCTTCGGGGAAGGGGGGGGTGTGTTGACGCTCCTGAAACTGTGCAGATTATACGTTCAGAACCCGGATGAACAATGTTAGTCATACATCCGTAATGTTAATTGAAATGATAATTATTTTTTGAAAAAGACCCAGGACATATAACGTTCAGGGATGCATATGTGTATATATGATTTCTCCGGAATTATTGCGATTAATATATTTTGTCATCTGACACTTTGTGTTTAAGCTGAAAAATAGTTTTTGGAGATTGGTTGAACTGTTTATTTACGTCCACACAGAACTGTATGGTTGATAAATCACGTGTTTCTGTGAAGATTTGACGTAGCGATGTTTTACAAACACAGACAACAGAAAGGTCAAGGACAAAAGCGACGTCACAATCCCCGTGGTTAGAACAGTTGTTGATTGACTGAGCGATGACTCGTCGACTATGGGTAACGCTCCTGCAAAAATACGCATTGCACATTATCCAGTGCAGAAATGCATAACAGTTAATATGAACTGTGAACAACATGATCATGTGAATATTTCTTATAGTCTTCTGTCACAACCTGATGTTCACATACCGTTTATCATGTTTGTTTGTTGTTTAACGCCGCAATCAGCAATATTCCAGCTGTATGACGACGGTCTGTAAATAATCGAGTCTGGACCAGACAATCCAGTGATTGACATCACAAGCATCGATCCACGCAGTTGGGATCGATGATATGCATCAACCATGTCAGCGAGCCTGACCACCCGATCCCGTCAGTCGCCTCCTACGACAAGCATGGGTGTTTATCATGTAAGTCCCAATACTTACTTAAACGCAGAAACTTTGGGAACACTTTTATTTTTTGATTAAAATCACACTTTTTGCTTTATAAAAATAGCTATAGCTGCATATTCTATTCCGGTTATTAAGTCAGTATTGTTTTAATTTGTCCAGGGATGGTGGGAATGAATTGAGGTAAAGCGTTAACTCTTCACGTCGGAGTCCGGGTTCGATTCCCTGTATTGAAGCCCATTTCCAATATCTGGTTTTCCACAGCCGTGATATGCTGAAAATGGGAAAATCGGTGTAAAAAGAACTGAAAACATAGTTACCGTTACTGCCAGGCCATTGATTGTCTCCCTTGTCGCTGCTGTATCGTAAGGAACGTCTACTTCGATGTGTTGCTGAACAATTGTTACTGCAACGTGACGTTTTGTCTGACGTCAAACACATGGTGACGTCACAGTGAAGGAACACGGCTGGGGAGTTGTCTAGGTACTTGAAAGCTTCAAATGAAAACTGTACCTTGGCGTCATCATTGGATGAGTGGAAGGTCAAGGTCGTGTCAATCGCGCACCTGAAACAACCCAGTTGATTTTTTGACGTTGATGAAATTTTCGGCCAAGCTTTTCATGGATGTATGGGATTTAAACTTCACGAATTCGTTGAACAGACACACCTTTAGTTTCATTTATTTATTCCAATATGAATAAAACCAGTTTAAAGAATATAATCAAATAGATTTTGATAAATAAGTATATATGTATTCAGATCTACGTTAGGATATTTTCGATTGTTCATATGAGTGAGTGAGTGAGTGAGTATGGTTTTACGCCGCTTTTAGCAATATTCCAGCAATATCACGGCCGGGGACACCAGAAATGGGCTTCACATATTGCACCCATGTTGGGAATCGAACTCGGGTTTTTTTGCGTGACGCGTGAACGCTTTAACCACTAGGCTACCCGATCGCCCCCTGTTGATATGAATACTTTAGGATCAATAACGCAACATTGATTATGATTATGAATCTCTATATACACCTTATTTGAAATATCTTATCATTTAACATGCATAAAAAAGTAAAGTGACCCATGAAGATGCGGGGTAGAATATGTCTTCAGCAACCCATGCCTGCCGTAAAAGGCGACTTTGCGTGTCGCAAGAGGCGACTAACGGAATCGGTTGGTCAGGCTCGCTGATATGGTTGATGTATGTCATCGTATTGTAATTGTGTTGATCGATGCTCATGATGACAATCACTGGATTGTCTGGTCCAGACTGGATGATTTACAGACCGCCGTCATATTGACTGGATGATGCTGAGTTGGTCGTTAAACAACAAACATGTAACAATGACAGCTTTTGCAAATAACACAACAAGCTTTAACCTATTTGTTTCTTCCAGCAATACACGTGGCTATTGTGTTTCCCCTTCCCCCGACAGCCATTTTGTATTTGTCTGAGGTTTCATTATATGCGTTTTATTTTTGGCCCAGCCCTTAGTTTTCTTGATTAACACTGATTATAATTAAGTCAGCTTGAACCTAGCCAAGCCTAGTTGTCTGAAATATAGTAACATCGGTTGACACACTCAAATTTTAATACAGTAAACTACGTTTATAACGAACACGCTTATCACGAACTGACCGATATAACGAACTTATTTTTTAGTCCAGGCCATTTGATGTATATATTCTGTATATATATATGCTTTTAACGATCTACGGTTATTACGAACTAAACTTAGTGGTCCCTTTGAGTTTGTTATAACCGTAGTTTACTGTAATCGAACGCACCGACAGTCAACTCCGGTTAGAATGGAGTCGGATGTAGCGAATGAGGAGAACTGTATGGAACAATCACCCGATTTATTTATAATTGGAGCGAGGTCACATACAATCGCCTCTTGTGTCATGAACAATGGATAACGCCATCTTTAATAATTGAGGTCAGTGCACTAATTTGACGTTTGATTTTTTTAAAGGCCGTTTCGCAAACAATGAAAAGTGGACGACAGACCTGAATAAAATGTCGATTAATCAATGAGACTTTAAGTTATCGATAAATAATCCTCGATATATGTGACCCTGTGGGTTACATGCAAATATTTTCACAACCAAAATATTACTATTATTTTAAAATCTTTACCATAAAACAGCATTCGAGGAAAATATTGATGGAATGATACATGCTAAGTAAAAAGCCTACCCTTTATCGATAAGATCGTACACGTTGTAGGATATGTTGCGCGTTGGCGTCGCAATACATCGGACCGGAAATGGCGTCACGTCACTTCCGTTAGAGGAGACGAAAATCTGTGCGTGCATGGCCTCACCTGGGGTCGCTAAGAAAGAGTTGGAAACAGCCTGTTGGTAAGTCCCATCTTGGAATAATTCCAGTCTGAAAAAGACAAAATAGGAGTTTTACTGGATCTGAGATGCGGTGGGGTAGCCCCGTGGTCAGTGTTCGCTCGTCACGCCGAAGACCAAGGTTCGATTCCCAACATGGGTGCAATATGTGAAGTCCATTTGTGGTGTTCCCTGCCTTGATATTGTTGGAATATTGCTCAAAGCAGCGTAAAACCTTTGTACATTGCACCTGTAGTTGGCTAGAAACAAAGATATGAGTAAGATGGCCACATTATCACATACAGTAAACTACGGTTATAACGAACTCAAGGGACTACTAATTTTAGTTCGTTATAACCGTAGTTCGTTATAAGCATATATACAGCATAACTACAGCAAATAGTCGGGACCAAAAAGTAAGTTCGTTATATCCGTCAGTTCGTTATAAGCGTGTTCGTTATAACCGTAGTTTCCTGTAATTGTTTTATTTGGAGCAAATTTCCCCAAGCAATTAATCGTTTGAAGTATAGTGTTTGACCTTTATCAATGACCTAGGAATATTTACATCCCCAAATTTCGGCCCCGCGCCAATACCCAGGAAGAAGAAGAGAAACCAGGGTTTATGGCGACCTCATGCTGTTAGTAACCTGACCCGTGGAGAACCGGGGTAGAATAGGTCTTCAGCAACCCATGCTTGCCGTGAAAGGCGACTATGCTTGTCGTAAGAGGCGACTAACGGGATCGGGTGGTCAGGCTCGCTGACTTGGTTGATGCATGTTAACGTATCCCAGTGGCTTGGATCGAATCTCATGATGTCAATCATTGGATTGTCTGGTCCAGACTAGATTATTTACAGACCGCCGTCATATAGCTGGAACATTGCTGAGTGCGGCGTTAAATAACAAACAAACAAAACAAGTTTAGTCACCTGGTATCGTTGCTGTCATCTGTAGATTCTTCTCACGTGGACATTAAAAACATTGCTTACCAATGCGGCCTGGCAGCACGCAGTCGTCATAAAGCCCATTTTTTCTTATTCTTCGTAAGTCCTGGTATGGCGCTAGTATCGATACAAGAATGCTGGATCCACGTATTGGGGTGTCGTTTATCAGAAAAGTCACAAGGACACGCAAGTGACATTTGATTTTCATAGAATTCAAACATTGGGAACTTTGTACCCTGGTCGTTTGTTTAGCTCCGTTTTGGCGACCAAATATAATCATATTTGTGTCCCTTTTTGACCGTTAACATTAAATTTGGATACAGACTAACGTCAAAAACAAGATACCCATATAAATGCATTGATATTTTAAGTGGAATCTTTGAATGAATTATTTACATGAAGCGACGTTTGCTGTTCAGTTTGGTATGCCACTGGGAGTGACCAAATGTTGCTGATAATGTTTGCGTTACACACGCCCCCGTGCCACCATCCACCCTAATGCCCCTCCCTCCCCCATCCCGAGGTAGCACAAAGTTAATCTTAACAAAAGAATAGTAACAGAGTCTGAATACAATAAGCAACATTACACGGCGTTTCTTTTGGACTATTGCTATTACCCTACTGTGATTTCTGGTCAGGAAAAGTCCCAGTCCCAGTTTAGTGGACTTAAATGGGTATTGGATTGCCAGGATCTGTGACCCCGTTCATGGTTTCATCATCGTCCCCGATTGCGTTTGACATCGACAACTACTGCTATGCACTGGCTTGCCAGGCCTAGATGCAAGTGTTTATACACAGCCGTTATGTAGCTGGTATATTGCTGCCAGTGACTTTAAACAAACAAACAATGCAGCCTGGTGTAAACATGTCACAAGTGGTGCATATATATGTATTTAAAACATAATATTTTCTCAAGTAAAATTAAAATTCAGAGCGCTGGTAAAGGGAAGTAACTCTTGGACTCCCAGACTCCCATTCCTTCGGTATTTTTTCACCAACCGACTTCACTTTTAAGTGAACATTTTGAAATGAGACAAAAAAAATTAAATTCTGTATTTCGACTTTTTGTTTTGAGAAAAACATAACTTAAACAAACATTTTTTAGAATACAACATCTCGTAAGTGTTTGTGTTTAACAGATGCTTTTTATACTATATGCCGCCAAATAATTTCCGAATCATGTTTAACGTGAAATTTTAATATTGCAGATTTGGAGAGCTGAGAAATCGATCAAGGTAAATAATAAACTTGAACTCTATCTATTTGTAGACATGACCAAATTAAGCTCGTATACAAACAGGCTATTGACCAAACCATACACAATCTATCATCATTATTTGCCGAGTTTATTTGTCGCTAACATGGGAACAGTTACAAATAGCCGGCACATAAATGTAAGGCCGTCCATATAATATTGTCTTTCGTCGTCATGCTCAACGTCAGAGAAATTGGTCAGTCAGAAGAAATCTAAAAAACAAATTTCTTGGTTGGGAATACACGCGATACGTTGTCTGGTTTTGTCAATATGTAAAACATGTTCTCAATAGAAATTTTAAATTTAGTTATAAATATTGAACATTTTTCACAACTCCAGGGCATCGTGCGACATTCTTTGCCAAAGAGAAACACAGACATAGTGCAGGCAGAGTTACTTCCCTTCCCTTAAATGCCACCACAACTCCTTGAATGTTACAACAACCAAATGTTTTCCCAAAGACTTCTATCGTCACTTTATATTTTTTTTAAAATAACTAGGCATTCAACAGCCATTACACGTACATGTATGCAAGCTGCAATAAAAACAAATTTTGGCTAGGTCAGACAGTCTCTTTTCCGTGTTCAGGAAGCTGAACACACCAACTCCAGTTCCGCAACAAATGTCACCTACTTGAAAATATCTATGCTCACTTTCAGCACAAGTCATCTTGTTATAAAAGTCAGGATCAAATATCGAATCAAATATGGTTAGCTTTAATTACTGGATGGGTGTACATTTGAAAGACATTAATGACATAAGGGGGAATATACGTGAACCATTACGCAACGAGTTGACAATTCTTTTACTTATGCCCGTTTGCGCTCAGACGGAACCCACGAGAGGGGCACAAGACGCTGTTAGGCTTGTCCCGGAATAACACGAGTTGGTCACGAATGTTTCGTTACCCTCTCGGAGAGGGGAGTTGATTTGTCGCCACTCGCATCTGTCCGTAACCTACAAGAAGGCTTGTCCCGGAATGGCACGAGTTGGCCGGAAATGTGGGGATCTGCGTCTGGCGTTCAGAGTTCAGAGACAGTTTACAGAGGGGTGCAATATATTCAGGCACGAGAAAGACCGGATATAAAAGCAAAGTTTGGTCTAGGTACAGCGGAAGATGACATATACACAAGACAACACAAAGCGAACGATTAACAACACAACCTACCCCTGATGATCCAGGGAAGGACAGATCTTCAGCAACCCATGCTGGCCGTAAAAGGCGACTATGTTTGTTGTAAGAGGCGAATAACGGGATCGGGTGAATATACTCACTGTGATCATATCCCAATTGAGTAAATCGATGCTCATGATATCAATCACTGGATTGTATGGTCCAGACTCGATTATTTACAGACCGCCGTCATATAGCTGGAATATTGCTGAGTGCGGCGTGAAACAACAAAGAAAGAAAGAAACAAACAAACGGACAGCCCCGTCGAGCAGCACAGTTTTCATGGAATGCACCCACGTGATCAAATAACAATCTCCCATTGGTTAATAACCTTATAACAACGTTTTAAGTCATCGATAGGGATGACAGCATTTTTACCAATGTTGGGGTGTTACCTGGTATCAAACTGTCCCCTTGCTTCCGCTGAGAATGTGAGGACGTCCCTGTCAACACGAAGTGGGACTTCCAGGTTCTCAGAGAGTGGCACGATGCATTGGAACGGAACCTCGATGTCGCGGACGTGTGAAATCACGCCATCGATTACCTCTTCTCGAGATTTCACGACATTTTCATACATGATTTTCCCACCCAGATTCTGTAACGTAGAGTATAGTTGGAGTTAGCAAGGACCTCAGAAAGTTTGCAATAACACTTGCCCGAGAATATATAGCACATGGAAATAACGGATGGCAACATACTCGCTTGACAACGGAAATCAGGACCCCATTGAAGATTGGGTTAGATCGGGTTAGAATTGGTCTTCAGCAACCGACTGTCGAAGGAAGCGACTAGCGGGAGCGGATGGTCAGGCTCGCTGACTTGGTTGATGCATGGCATCGTAAGCTAATTGCTTGGGCCGATGCTCATGATGTCAATCAGTGGATTGTCTGGATATTGCTGAGTGCGGCGTTAAACAACAAATAACCGAACACTGACAACAGGCCAACTATATGACTGACTATCTATATGGTAGTGAACAACTATCCCTGGTTATAGAGCATCTTATAATTAAATATTTAGAAGAAAGTACAGCATTTATTGGAAATGTTCTTCATAATGGTTCGACCTGTTACTGACAGGTGCCAGTTATATCACGGCATGTAAACCGAATGTGGGTGAAAAGCCCGAAGTGATGCAGGTCTCAGACGTTTACCACTTCGATTAAACCCACGGGCACGGTTAGTGCTGACAAACCTCAAAACAAAATGAGGGCGAACCGGGATTCGAACCTACAATCATAGTTTTCTGGCGTGCCCAAGGGACGCAACTCTGCACAGCAAATTGCGGCGTCTTGGACGACTGGGCCACCCGTGCACCTACTATCATATTAGGTATTGTTTAAATATAGACTCGCTTGCCAATCAGGCCACTGACCCTCTGCTATATTTGATTGTCTCGGGCCAGAGGACCAGCAGTTAATATTTTCCTGATGTACCTACAGAGGATTTTGTCCCACAGGCCCCCAGGGGTGCGGTTATCATCACGTGGGTGCCGTTGCTGGTGGCGCGACAGGTGGGGTCGGTCAGGGTGACATGCTGGGCGTGGAGTCCTGGGAAGTGGCCCTTGTCGAAAGTGATGGTCATGGCCTGAGAGGTGCAACTGACGGACTCACCGGTGGCTGAGGACAGAGTGAGTGAGTGAGTGAGTGAGTGAGTGAGTGAGTGAGACAGATCGCCTTAACCATTATTTCTAATGCCTTTATAAGTGAGTGAGTTTGGCTCAAGGTCGTCTTGAACAGTTCCAGTTATATCATGGCGAGCCAGCTTGGTGTGGGAGGAAGGCCCAATGTGATGTAGGTCTCGCACGTTTACCGTTTTGGTGAAAACTAACGAGCATGGGAATGGCGCTGATAAACCAAGAAACATAATCGGGATTCGAACCCAAGATCACGATAACATGCGAGTAACTGTCAGTTCTTTAAAAATACGTGAAATCCTGTCTCTAACATGAAATATATACATCCCTACAAACTAAGAAACAAAATCTGGGATAGGTTTCTTGCACTCCTAAGGCCAGCAAAATTCTTCCAAACGAAATAACACCAACCGGTTTGACGTACCGACACACGTGTGGTGATCTGTTGACAGGTCTAACTCCACATCCGGGCATTCACAATGATAACTGCCAATATCGTTCACACAGCTGTGGCTACATCCGCCATTTTGTAAAGTACATTCGTCAATATCTGCAAATAAAAGGGCAGTATGTGTTCATTTTAGGCGTACCTTTATTAAAACAAATCCTGGTCATAAATTGTTCGATAGGCATAACTTAGAAGTTGAATGGAAGTTGTTATCCATAAACTTTCTCTACTTTGAAATCCTGGTCATACTGAAGTATTTTTTTTATATGAATTTAGTGATGAAACATTATATTTATCTGAATCGATATCAAATCGACATTTCACTCAAATAAAATAACATATTATTTCACACAAGTTTATGCCGGAACTACTGTTTTTTTACTGACACTATGGTTTTCTGAGTAAGATCATAAAAGTAAAACATGTATGTCTTTTCATCCACGCCAACGCATTTTCCGGTGAGGAATGACAAAAATCCTCTATGTATTGAACAATACATTAAATCAGTAACATTGAAAAATGTCAAATTGTGTTTTCGATAACAACTTTTTGGTTTTTAAGACGGATTTTACGCTTGGGCGATCGATAATCTTCGTAGTTTGGATTTTTAATCGAGGGAGAAATACAAAATGCACCAAAAATGGATTTTTGCAATTTACACAGGAACGTTATAATGTTACCATCGGACTGATGGTTCTCAAAATAAAGTTAAATATATTTCCTTTATTTACAATGAAGTAGAAATCAAAAGAGTTAGAATACTGCACATACCTGATTCACATAAACTACCGGTATAGCCGGAAGTACACGAGCACAGGAAGTTGAGAGTTGTGACCTCGGTACAGGAAGCGTTATGGCGACAGGGGCTACTCATGCACGGGTTATCTGGCAATGTTAAGATATCAGAGAACAGCTAAAGGCTCTGTTCCAATGGGTGTTCGTTGTCTGGGTCACGTGTAGTACAATAATATCCCAGTAATGCACTCCAAGCAATGCACTTGGTACAACAGTGCCGCTTGAGCTGCACGTGGTCGGGATTTACACTGACACCTGGGCCGTTGGTTGAGTGGAAACTTGAAGGCGACGTTTGGGCGAAATGTTCACTGGATAAAGGCATATTCTGTTCGTGAAACGCGAAAATGTAGCTTGCCCTAAGAGCTGGGATGAGGCGAAATGCGTTTTACGTCGCTTTCAAGATATTTGCACTTCTATAATGTGTGGTTACTTGTACTAGTCCGGACTAATGCCGGTTTCATAGTGCTAGCCCACTGATATACTAGGGCTGGAACGAGTCCAAATTTACTATCCGGGTACCCGCCACCCTATTACCCGGCCCTACCCGGATACCCGCTATAGGTCTCAAGAGTTGGGTACAAAATGTCCGAATGGATATTGTTTTACCGTAGCCCTGGCAAAACATCTTTAGATACATGATCATGTATACACTGCAGTTGATAGACGCTTTATCCTTACTCGAACATATAAAAGTCAGAACGAATGCCTGCATAGTGGGACAGAAATGTGAACATTAGCTAAACTTGTAGTGTAACTATTTAGTTTAATTGTTAATGTCATTAAACAGTATGTCACGTGACTGTCCACGGGTCCGGGTAGTCAGGACCCACCCGACCCGAGTTCCCGAGTTACCCGTCCCAGCCCTATGAGATACAATGTCACAGTGTAGTATGGATACCCGAATCTTAACATTATACTGACTCCCAGACGACCAGTCCTTGTTTTAGCCCTTTGATGCCACGCCTCCGACGGGTAACAACAAGTACCATCCATTAACGTCTTTTGGTCTTAAGTTAGCGATATTGTATTAAAAATGAACTATACTGGCACTTAGTTAGCACTCACAGAAAATGTCTGCATGGTTGTATTTCTTAAAATTTAATTTGATTTGAATCTTTTAAAAATTATAAACAAATTCTTCGCATAATACAACTGCTGATGGATATCTTAGACTTAGTATCTTTGAAAATTAATAAATTTGCTTATTTTTACAAAAAATTATATTTCAAACATGGCAGGGGTCATGTGATCATTTCTTACCCAAGTCTTCACTGAACCAATTAATTTTTACACAAAGTTACCCAGCCACAGATTACTTTTTAACACAGACATAATCAAATTTAACAAGAGTTCTTTCAATTTTCAATTACATAAAAAAAACTGTGTACTTTCTTTTGCCCCTCAGTTTACATGCTTATATATCAAGGTCGACTGCGCAGGGTGAATTGCGTTGCCTAGACAACTAGGCCGTTTCTGAATCCAAGTCGAGGCTTAGCATCAATAAACATTCTTCAGTTGATGAAAAGATGAAAGGAAAACACAGTACTCATATATAAGTAGGACGTAATGGTGACAGTCACTAACAGTGTATTCTCCCCGGGAAGCTGAGAATAAAAATATTGATTGCACACTAATTTGTCCACGCGGTAAATAACATGTCATTAGCAATAAACATGCTTGTATGTTGAGTCAGGTGCATATAAGTCGCGATCGGGAGGAGCCGATGTAGGAGTACTATATATCTACTCCCTCCATTACAAATAAATCGAAACCAGAGAGTGTACATGTAGGTAGACCACAACAAAGCTCACCTTAAAAAGTCATTTACTAGAAATTCGGGGGCGGTCGGGTAGCCTAGTGGTTAAAGCGTTCGCTCGTCACGCAGAAGACGCGGGTTCGATTCCCGACATGGGTACAATGTGTGAGGCCCATTTCTGGTGTCGCCCGCCGTGATATTGCTGGAATATTGCTAAAAGCGGCGTACAATCAAACTCACTCACTCTCTATAACGAATTGTATACTGGTGACTATACTAAATTCGTCCTCATAATTCTGGAACAGAACTTCAGAAAGTTACTACCCACACAGCACAATAACAGCAGAAAAGGGGGTATTGTTTGGGGAAGGTGGATAAAAATAATCTGTTCCCAAAAACAAAATGTGGCGCCTTTTTAGACCCTACTCCATACTCTGTGTGTCTCATAGTGGTTGTATCTTGTTTCCAGCAGCATCTGAATAATTGTCCTGGGCCCACTTGCACGAAGCGATCTTAGCGCTACAACTATTGTAAGCCTATGTTAAAGTATGGGAGTTACGATCATCTTAGCGCTTAGATCGCTTTGTGCAAGTGGGCCCAGGACAAAAACTAACCAGGTACGGAAAATATAACACCCACAGAGAGTTTTCCTTTCTTTTGAGGCGGTGGGGTAGCCTAGTGGTTAAAGCGTTGAACTTCGAACATCACACCGGTCCGAGGTTCAGTTACCCCAATGGCTACATCTTTGATATTTCCCTTGTCCTTCTATTGCTGTAGATTGCTGTTTGTTTGTTTGTCATTTAATTATTCCAGTTATTTGATGTCAGTCTGTAAATAAATCGAGTATGGAACAGACATCCCACTGATTGACATCATGAGCATCGATAGAACGCAATTGGGATACGTTGACATGCATTAACCAAGCCAGCGAGCCTGAGCACCCGATCCTGTTAGTCGCCTCTTACAACAAGCATGGCCCATGGGTTTCTCAAGATCAGTTCTAACCCGGATCTTTTCGGTTAGATTCTACTGTATCCGTACTCCCTTGACTGAGTATTTGACCTCGACCTTGACCATGACGTTCTGGCTTACCTTGGCAGAACACGGCGACCGTCTCTCCCGACCCACAGTCCTCCACAAACCATGGGTCGTGTTGGCAGTTGGACAGGGTAGCCTCGTTCCCGAAACACTTAATTTCGTCAAGAATGTACGTCATCGATGGCGGAAGTGCATGGAACTTTCCGGCAACCTCTATTCTGGGGTTAGTTGTCGGGTAGCCTGCTTGACGGCAGGCGATCTCAGCGGCGTGAACGTCAAAGCCGTCATCACACACCAGCCCCGTTCTGTTCAAACGTCACACAATGACAGATCTTAAAATGTCCAATGAAGAACTTGATGCATAATGAAGATAGCAAATTGAGATAATAAAATATGTAGTCTGTTAGGGACTGTCCCTTTGCATGTTGATATTCCGGAGTGGGTGGGTTTTTTTTTGAGGCGGTGGGGATTGTTGGTAATTTGTTCCAGAATAAACTGGAAAGAAATCCTGATAAAATGAGTAGTCATAAGACTGTCTAAAAATATATCCAGTCACACTGGAAGCCCAATAAAAGCGGGCAATGTCACATCTATAGACAGATGAAATACATTATAGGCTTGTGGAACGTCAAGTATCTGAACATCTGTTTGAATTCAATGAAGCATATATTATTACGTGAAACGAAAAGGACCAAGGTCAATGAAGCATCAATAACATCGTTGAAGAAGGGATGCCATCATCTCCGTCACTAGCTTAGCAAGGAATTTCTCTCGCTCATGGGCTCTGTTTGATTGGACTAAAAACAATGAGTTTCACTACGACGTTGTAGTGGTGAACAGGCCCATGGAATTTCTCCTAATGGAGATATAATACACTGGATAATCGATAATTTGCCAATACAGTAAACTACGGTTATAACGAACTCAAAGGGACTACTATTTTTAGTTCGTTATAACCGTAGTTCGTTATAAGCATATATACAGCATAACTACAGCAAATAGTCGGGACTAAAAAGTAAGTTCGTTATATCCGTCAGTTCGTTATAAGCGTGTTCGTTATAACCGTAGTTTACTGTATAAGCTCTGCCATAATATGTAATGACGTGTTACCTCCCTGCGTGCGTGATCTGGACCAGGCCGGTGTGAGGGTCGGGCCCGAGAATCAGGGAAACGTTGTTATCCTAGAACATGTCAATGACATACCAGGGGCTTACGTTTACGGCGAAGGAATGAAAAGGGGAATATGCCTGGACAAACACTCACACACAGTATGGGCAAAACAGATTAAATAGGTAAATGCAATGGGGAGAACTTGCAGTTTCTATTTCAAAGTTGATTTTTTACATCGTGCATGAGGATGGTGTGATAGCCTAGTGGTTACAGCGTTGACTCGCTACCCAAACCTCTAGGTTCGATTCTACATATGGGTGGAGTAAAACTGGAACAGTTTCCATTTTATTATGATAAAATGTCTCAAATTACCTTAAACAAGCAAACAAACAAAATGTCAACTAGCGAGCACAAACATGGACAAACACAAACCAAAACCGAAACGGTTTTATTGCAATTGTCCAATAGTATAGCTAAATAATTATCTATTTATATTATTTATGTTATGTTAGGTTATGTGAACATATGCATGAAATTATACATTTTTTGTATAAATTTAAATATAATGTTTGATGACACAGTGTTCTACCTGTACGGCACCGTCAACTTGGGCTATCACGGACACCAGAAGGAGCAACACCGAGACTGTCTCCTCCGCGTGTGTCATGTCCGGGAGCTCTGTGTACACTGTGTGTGTGTGTGAACTAGCCCAGTTGGCAACACCTCAACTGATAGAAGGCGAGTATGAAGCTAACGCACCTCCTGACATAGTTACAGCCGATTGTTTGTCTTGCGATAAAAAATATCGTTCACTTGACTTGCTGGAGATTCTGAAAAATAATTGAAAACAAATATTTGGCTGCCTCTTTCAGAAGTCTTTGATGGGCATTTTGGAAGATGGACGAACATGAATACATGACATTTTTTATGGATTACAACATCTTTTACTCTTTGTCAAAACGTTCCACAGCTACTTCATCAGGGGAATACTGTACTCCTTCATCAGGTGAATACTGTGCTCCTTCAACAGGTGAATACTGTGCCCCTTTATCAGGTGAATACTGTGCTCCTTCACCAGGGGAATACTGTGCCCCTTCATCAGGTGAATACTGTGCTCCTTCATCAGGTGAATAATATGCTCCTTCGTCAGGTGAATACTGTGCTCCTTCATCAGGTGAATAATCTGCTCCTTCATCAGGTGAATACTGTGCTCCTTCATCAGGTGAATGCTGTGCTCCTTCGTCAGGTGAATACTCAGCTACTTCATCAGGGGAATACTGTACTCCTTCATCAGGTGAATACTGTGCTCCTTCAACAGGTGAATACTGTGCCCCTTTATCAGGTGAATACTGTGCTCCTTCACCAGGGGAATACTGTGCCCCTTCATCAGGTGAATACTGTGCTCCTTCGTCAGGTGAATACTCAGCTACTTCATCAGGGGAATACTGTACTCCTTCATCAGGTGAATACTGTGCTCCTTCAACAGGTGAATACTGTGCCCCTTTATCAGGTGAATACTGTGCTCCTTTACCAGGGGAATACTGTGCCCCTTCATCAGGTGAATACTGTGCTCCTTCATCAGGTGAATAATATGCTCCTTCGTCAGGTGAATACTGTGCTCCTTCATCAGGTGAATAATCTGCTCCTTCATCAGGTGAATACTGTGCTCCTTCATCAGGTGAATGCTGTGCTCCTTCATCAGGGGAATACTGTGCTACATCATCAGGTGAATACTCAGCTACTTCATCAGGTGAATACTGTGCTCCATCACCAGGGGAATACTGTGCTACATCATCAGGTGAATACTCAGCTACTTCATCAGGGGAATACTCAGCTACTTAATCAGGGGAATACTGTGCTCCTTCATCAAGTGAATACTCAGCTACTTCATCAGGTGAATACTGTGCTCCTTCACCAGGTAAATATTAAGCTACATCATCAGGTGAATACTGTGCTCCTTCATCGGGGGAATACTGTGCTCCTTCATCAGGTGAATACTGTGCTCCTTCATCAGGTGAATACTGTGCTCCTTCATCAGGTGAATACTGAGCTACTTCATCAGGGGATTACTGTGCTACTTCAGCACGGTAAATACTGTGCTACTTCATCAGGTGAATACTGTGCTCCTTCATCAGGTGAATACTGTGCTACTTCATCAGGTGAATTCTCAGCTACTTCATCAGGGGAATACTCAGCTACTTCATCAGGTTAATACTGTGCTCCTTCATCAGGTGAATACTGTGCTCCTTCATCAGGTGAATACTCAGCTACTTCATCAGGGGAATACTCAGCTACTTCATCAGGGGAATACTCAGCTACTTCATCAGGTGAAGACTCAGCTACTTCATCAGGGGAATACTCAGCTCCTTCATCAGGGGAGTACTGTGCTCCTTCATCAGGTGAATCCTGTACTCCTTCATCAGGGGAATACTGTGCCCCTTCATCAGGTGAATACTGTGCTCCTTCATCAGGGGAATACTGTGCTCCTTCGTCAGATGAATACTCAGCTACTTCATCAGGTGAATAATCTGCTCCTTCATCAGGTGAATACTGTGCTCCTTCACCAGGTGAATACTGTGCTACATCATCAGGTGAATACTCAGCTACTTCATCAAGGGAATACTCAGCTACTTCGTCAGGGGAATACTGTGCTCCTTCACCAGGTGAATACTGTGCTACATCATCAGGTGAATACTCAGCTACTTCATCAGGTGAATACTGTGCTCCTTCATCAAGTGAATACTCAGCTACTTTATCAGGTGAATACTGTGCTCCTTCACCAGGTGAATATTGTGCTACATCATCAGGTGAATACCGTGCTTTCTTCATCAGGGGAATACTGTGCTCCTTCATCAGGTGAATACTGAGCTACTTCATCAGGGGAATACTGTGCTCCTTCAGCACGGTAAATACTGTGCTCCTTCATCGGGTGAATACTGTGCTCCTTCATCAGGTGAATACTGTGCTCCTTCATCAGGTGAATACTCAGCTACTTCATCAGGTGAATACTGTACTCCTTCGTCAGGTGAATACTGTGCCCCTTCATTAGGTGAATACTGTGCTCCTTCATCAGGTGAATACTGTACTCCTTCATCAGGTGAATATTGTGCTCCTTCATCAGGTGAATACTCAGCTACTTCATCAGGTGAATACTGTGTTGACATGATGAAGGAGCAAGAAGTAGCTCTGAAACGTCGTGACAAAGAAGAAAAGAAGTTGTTGTCCATAAAACGTTGTCCTGATGCATACCTCTTTCAGAGAAACACATTGTACGTTTTGAAGCTGACTGATAAAACTATTTCGTCTCAAGCTAAATTCCAAGGCATTCTCTCTCACAGAAAATTAAATGGTGGGTCCTCTATAGAATGACCAGCCACGAGAAAGATACATCTTCCCGAGGCAAGGGCGTTAACTGACTATAAAAGTCCAGTTTCCACCTTTGCCGAACTAGGCTGCAATTTCCAGGCTCGATCGTGTGATTGTTCGCCCCGAGTATGCTTCTAGGTTTGTCAGCACCATACCCGTGCTCGTAGGTTTCACCAAAGTGGTAAACGTCCGAAACCTGCATCACTTCGGGCTTTCCTCCAACATTAAGCTGACACGCCGTAATATAACTGGAGTAATGTTTAAAGCGGCGTTATACCCAACTCACTCACTCTTTCAATTAGGATACGATGACATGCATCAACAAAGTCATCGAACTTGACCACCCGATTTACTACGTTGCCTCTTAACATATAGAGAACCAATAATATATATTATATATAACTCTATTTGTTACTTTAACGAAGTTGAAAAAACAAAACTGATCACATGGAAAAGAGATTTATTATTAACAACTGTGTTCATAAGTATTATACACAACGGAAATCAGGGCCCCCTTCAACAACGCGACGGTCACAGCCAGTATACTCAATATAGATGCACGCATGCAAGGGACCATGTGTTGTAATTGAATTTGCCACATATGACACTTAGCAAAATCTTCAAAAGGCATTCATTTTTCGAGGAATATGTGCATCAATCTATGTTATTTTGTGGGTTCCAAGTTTATATAACATAAATCAATTACAATAGGATTTTGCTTCAATAGCTCAATAATTCGTAGAATTTGCTGGAAATGACCGATAATTTGATTAAAAAATTATCACCAGCCCACCGCAGCATGGAGTACGTTGAAATATTAAGTGAGTGAGTGAGTGAGTGAGTATGTTTTTACGCCGCTTTTAGCAATATTCCAGCAATATCACGGCGGGGAACACAAGAAATGGGCTTCACACATTGTACCCATGTCGGGAATCGAACCCGGGTCTTCAGCGTGAAGAGCGAACGCTTTAACCACTAGGCTACCCGACCGCCCTTGAAATATTAAGGGTGACCTTAATTAGTATATATTTTGCACATGCACTCAAGGCGTTTAACGCAGAATATTAAAGAAGAAAACAAAGGCAACGGTATCTCAATGTTTACGTCAAGGGAGTGGTTCGAATACTCAAAGTGTCTCGAGTGTGTGTTTCCTATTTCTTTTCCTGCGATTTCTGACGATTATCGCAATCATCCCTGAGACGATCGCAGTCAGTGCAAACACCGCCACCGACGTCCCCACCACCTTCTTCCAGTGCGTGGACGCCGACTCCACCATATTCCGCCTCTCTCTTAAACCGTTGTTGATGACCTCGTGGTTGTGGTCAAGGTCCCGAGATGGCTCGTCATTTGTTGAGTTTGAGAAAGGAAGAGAAATGTTTATTGCCGATGTTGAGTTGAGAGTTGGTGTGACGGTACTTGACGTTGTCGTTTCCCATGTTGTGGAGGTCGTGGCTGGATTAGCCGTTGTTGTAGTCGGGGTCGTCGTGGATGTCGCTTGGGTCGTCGTTGTTGTAGTTGATGGTGTTGTTGTTGTTGGAATCGTCGTTGTTGTGGTTGTAGTTGTAGTTGAAGTGGTTGTAGGGATTGTCGTCGTCACTGTTAACAATAACAAACAATTTGAAATCAAATCATGTGTAACACACACACACACACACACACACACACACACACACACACACACACACACACACACACACACACACACACTTGGACGCGACGTTAAACCCCCTTCACCATGCAGTAACTATAATATAAAAGTATCGGGTGTTCTCTAACTTTTTTTTAGTAGTATACACTCTTCCAGGAAAGTAACGCACAGGTAGTGTGTAGTTCATTGACAAAGAAATCCGGTATATAAATAGGATATATGTTATTGGAAAATGTTGGTGGCCTGATATTCGACAAACGGTGCGTCAAAACAGAGCCATTGCCAATTTGCAATGTTTGAAGCGGCATTGTTTTCACACTTGTTTAAAAATGTCATGGAGGAAAACAGTGAAGCAAAATGCACGTGCAAGTTATGGCATTCGTAAGAATAGCAGCGCTGCCGATCGGAACATCGCCATAGGACGTATTCTAGGAGGGGAATTGCAGTCTTCTGTTTCACGCCACTTCAACGTCCACCACCAGCACCATTTGCCGCATTTGGCACCGATACATTCAGTTCAATTACACTGTAGACCGTCCTAGAGCCGCCCGAGAACCGTCTGACCAAGAGTTACCACCACTGCACATCCCCTGAGGGGGATATCGGTCCAGACTGTCAGGAACCATCTTCGCGAGGCAGGAATCCCATCCAGAAGACCAGTTATCGTCCCTGTTTTGCAACAGATCCATCGACAGCGACGCTTGCGTTGGTACCATAACTTACAGCCTTGGAATTTGAGAAACTGGAGACGAGTGTGGTTTAGTATTTCTTCTTCACAGGCGAGATGGAAGACAACGTGTTTATCGTCGTCGAAATGAGCGTTTTGCCCCAAATTGTGTACGTGAATTCGACCATTTCGGTGGCGGTAGTGTCATGGTGTGGGGGGCATATCCTACACCACGAGATCGGACTTGGTTGTGGTTCAGGGAAATTTGACAGCAAGTCGCTCCATGAATCCAATTCTTCAACCTCACCTTCTTCCATCTTGACCGCTAGAGGGAGCTGTTTCAACAGGACAACGCTCCACCGCACACATCTCGTGTCACGGTAGACTACCTTCAAAATGCCTACGTCAACGCCTTGCCCTGGCCGTCGAGATCTCCAGATCTCAACCCAATCGAACACCTCTGGGATGAACTCGATCGACGTGTACGTCAACGTCAGAACACTCCGCAGACACTCCCAGAACTGGCCAACGCGTTACAAGCAGAATGGCACAGAATTCCACAGGACAGAATTCGTACACTTATCCAGTCAGTCCCGAGGAGATGCAGAGCCGTGATTGCTGCCCGGGGCATCACACGAGATACTGAGTTCGGCGCAACCTTGTGGCCTTATGTGACATGACAATAAACAGTTGTCAATGCCTTTGTACAACGACAACGTGTGACTATCGAGCACAAACATTTCATATTTGTATCTATGATATTAAATTAAATATATCGGCTTTATTAGGTACAATACATTTACTAAAAATCTACCTGTGCGTTTCCTTTTTTGTAGAGTGTATATCAAATTTTGGCTTGAATATATGTACACATATATGTATTATTTGCAGTTGGAAATGTAGAAGGAAGATCAAAGCAATTCTTTTTTTGGCAATGAACAATTTCAGCAGTTTGCAGTTGATCTCCGTGCATGATCTATCAAGATTACTTGAAACTAAAGCTTGTTCACCCTATTTTTCTTATAAAAAGGTAACATATCGCAGCGTAGCCGAAGGACACAATATAATTCGCCATAAGACAACATAGCGTAGCGAAACGTTACCTAACAAATGTTTGTTTGTTATATTTCATTCCAGCCACGTGACGGCGGTCTGTCAATAAACGAGTCTGGACCAGACAATCTTGTGATTGAGTGATGAGCATTGTAATAGGCAATTGGAATACGATAACATGCATCAACCAAGTCAGCGAGCCAGACCAAACGACAACGTTTGTCGCCTCTTATGACATATATAGTCGCCTCTGACGACATAAATAGTCGCCTGTTATGACAAGCATGGGTTGCTGAAGACCAATTCTAACCCGGATTTTCACTGGTCTTTGCTGGGTTTTTTTTATGGTTTTAGTCCAGATTTACTCAATACACACGGCATGGTACAACATTTAGAATGCATCTACGTCATCAACCAATTACCAATAAAATGACACGACAGTGAAACTTACGTCCGCATGACAACGCGACAAGTTGACTTTTGATGCTGCTTAGCTCGGCGTAACTGTTGACCTTGAACATGAGCTCTGGCCTTGACGCCAGGTTTCGAAGTTCTGTGTCGTTCACTCCCGCCCCGACCCCCACCGAAATCATCTCCACGTGCTTCGCACGCGCTGCCTCTATCACTTTAGCTGTGGCCTCCATGTCGTCAGACTTTCCGTCGGTTAGAGTCAGAATCTGATCCGGTACCTCATCCCTGTTTCTCTTCGTTAGGATCTTTGTCAGAGCGTAGTTCAGAGCCTTGGCTGTGTTGGTTCCCCCGCCATTGTGGTAGATCTTCATCACCTTTGCCATCAGTTCTCCTTTCTTTCCATTAAACTGCCCCAGCTTGGCTTCACGCCGTGTGCCGTCTGAGAAACGTACCACGGCAATCTGGTAGCCCTCGTCGCTGACTTCAAGGTCACCGATGAAACTTTCCAGAAACTGTTTTGCCCTCTCGAAGTCTTGCTTTGTTACGCTACCTGAGCTGTCCAGTAGGATGACCAGGTCCCGTCTCACTGATGGACATGCTGCAACAGATGAATCAGACATAAATATTCGTGAGGCCAGAACATAAAGAGTGATTATTTTGGGGGGTTAAAAGTAAGGAAATAACGAAAATCGTTCAATGATTCGTTTCTTTAAGCTGCAGTCAAAATATTTCAGTTATATTTACAAATAATCGAATGCGGGTTTAGAAAACAACTTTAGCTGATGACCCGTGAAGATCCGGGTTAGGATAGGTCTTCAGCAACCCATGCTTGTCGTAAAAGGCGACTGTGGTCAGGCTCGCTGACTTGGTTCATTGTATCCCAACTGCGTGGATCGATGTCAAACAAACGTTATGGTTTGATTATGTTGAAAATGAAAACCACTTTCTTCTCGTGTGCATTGCATACTCGGAACTTGGACGCCTCGTGCTATTGACCTATGATTTATCACAACAATCCCTGTCCAGAAAAGTTCGTATCTACAAATACTAAATGTTTGTCACACATTTTTAAATATATATATTTTGCTTGAAAACTTAGAGCATTAATAATTATTTAGATATACATGCCCTTCATCTTGCTCAAATTTAATCAAATTATACCCAACTTCGCATCTTGAAATTTCAACAGAGCATCTTGAAATTTCAACTTAGTATCTTGAAATTTCAAGAAAAAAGAAAAGAAAGAAAATGGCCCTAAAAGGCTTCCGTATAAGTTTCTATTCGTAATAAAGATTTATATGCACAATGCGCTGTTAGTTTCGAGTTTTGTGATAAACTATCGTGCCACTTTTGTTGGCATCAATCGTTAATACGTTGCTTAATTTGTCTAATAAATATTTCACAATCCCCGCAGTCTTGAATACTCCATGCATAACCTGAACAAAGTTCAAATAAAAAGGTTTTAATAAATTGATTAGAACAAGTTGTACAATACACCTGACCATACTTGGCCTAAAAGACATTTTTTTCTTTTTCTTTTCTTAAAAACAATTATATAATAAAAATGATAAATCAATACATACAAAAAGACATCAACTGAACGTTCAGGCAATTCCCTCATACAAAAATCCCAAAAGAAGTTACACTGGATATCACAAATGAGAAATAAGAAAGACAAATTGTCCACTCACATTGAGATGAAACCAGCTTCTCGTGAATACAAGCAAGGAATACGCATAAAACAAGAATGCTTCTCATCTCCATGTCCACGATACACACGGAGAGTATTTGTCCTACGTTACAATCAGATGCCAGCGGCCAAGTGGAGTGTGTATTCCGGAGTCTTGTCTGCAGTGTTGGCCATGGTCCGGGAAAATAGGAGACGGCTGTTCCTTCTTGCAATGCGTACGTTGCTACTCCGACCAAGGGCTTATCACTGCCGGCTTTGCTTCCGTTCGTCCGTGCATGACTCAGTATTGGACAAACAGTTTAACCGCGCTGACATTGTTGACAAATTGAGCTGTAAACCTTAAGTCTTTGGAGAATTCGCTTTTTCAATGTTCAAACTTTATTTTTAAATCCTTGATCACATACAATAAATATTGACAGCGCGTATCGATCATCATGTTGGAAAACATGGTGCAAATATTGTTACAGCAGCCTCTTTTAAATGGTTTAATTAAAAAACAATCCTGCGATTTGATTTGTAAACAAAGTAAATGTTTTGCGTAGATTGCTGTTGTTTTCAGTCAATGACGATCGTTGAGTAATTCGAACATTTAGTTTGCTTTGCAACCCGTCTGTATAGACTCTGGCGTCCCCCATCGTGATGAAGCTTGACTGCAACGGCGTAAAATTCCATTCACTCACTTACTCCATATATATGCTCTCTCTCAGTTGGCATTCCCGTCAGTTGAAACTTAAAAAGTGGGAATATTTAGGATAAAGGTTTTCAACCACCATTAGGGGCACGGGTGGCCCAGTCGTCTAAGGCGCCGCGATTCGTTGTGCAGAGTTGCGTCCCTTGGGCACGCCAGAAACCTATGATTGTGGGTTCGAATCCCGGTTCGCCCCGATTATGTTCCTAGGTTTGTCAGCACCATACCCGTGTTCGTGGGTTTCATCGAAGTGGTAAACGTCTGAGACCTGCATCACTTCGGGCTTTCCTCCCACATTAAGCTGACACGCCGCGATATAACTGGAATAGTGTTAAAAGTGGCGTTAAACCCAACTCACTCACTCACTCAACCACCATTTGTTTTGCACGAACTGTTTATCCTCCACTTACAGACGTTTTTCGGGCTATAAATAGAGACAATAGAGCACTTAATAAGGGACATAGCTGTCTGCCTTGACAAGGAGGCGTCAGGAAGTTTTACTCGGAAACAAAGATCGCGAGGTGCTACAGATATACATATATACAGAGACACGGCGTGATAATAGCAATATAAATCTGTCCCTAATTATCTTCGGGTGCGATAACTGGGGCGGGGAACCTTCACACATACAAAATAAACTAAACTTTGTTGGAAAATTGTGGCTTGGCCTAGTTGGAGAGTGTTTGGTTTCTGGTTACACTCCGCCCAAGAACCAATCTCATTAAAATCAGACCTTAGTTCTCGCTACCGCTAAACAAAGATCTGAAGACATCCCATTAGGGGTCACGTCAGATAGACCTTTCATCGTACGTAAGTACGTCGCTTACCAGATTATGAAAGTGACAGTCAGAATGTTATTTCTAATCATGCAATCTCGAAAACTTTAACATGGGGTATTCCGAACGATAGTTACGGGTTTAACGACTGAATCCTTACAATCTAGACCAGTCCAGAATGTTTTTTGTTCAGGTTTCAAATTTGTAATCGAGAATTTGTCAAAATATGTTTCGAAGCGTAGTCGCCAATTTGAAATTTGTGCCGTAAAGCACGAGAAAGCTGCCTTCTGATTGGTCATTCCATTGGTCGGTCAAAGTTCGCGCAAGGTCGGTCTGACGTGACCCGTAATGGGATGTCCTCAGATCTTTGTTTAGCGGTAGCTAGAACTAAGGTGTGATTTTAATGAGATTGCCCGAGAACATCCCACAGATGCTCAATTGGGGACATGTCAGGCGACTTAGCGAGTCCGTGCAATGCGCGTTTGCCTTCTCGTCGGAGACAATCGGTAACGACTTGGGCACGATATAGTCCTACATTGTCTTCTTGCAATTCAAAATTTCTTCTGATGATTTGAACGAATGGAAAAACGACAGGACGCAAAATTTCATATCGCTGGCCAGTCAAATATGTCCATTCACATTTACCAAATCAGTTCGCCTATCATGTGTTATACCGCCCCTAAACAGATCGTGGTAAGAATTGGTGCCCTTGCATACAGCTCGCCGCTACGTCGCCAACAACGTTTTCTGCCATCGATGAATCGGAGACAAAACCTTAATTCGTCTGTAAACATGGTGTAACGCCAATGGCGCACAGCCCGTCCCTGGTGTTGCCTTGGCCACCCCAATCTTTGCCGCCTATGGTAAGCTGTTAGGGTCACATCCTTCACAGGACGCCTCTTTCGGTTTTCCTTAGTAGGTGTTGAAATTCGCCTTCCTGTTATTGTGCAGAATTCTATATTGATAACAGGAACAAATTTGAATCTGTTACGTGGTGTAATAAATGTAAAGAGACGATCGTGTCTGGGTGTCCTGATTATAGGCCTGCCGCGCCCAAGTCTCATTGCTCCATCTGCTTGACGATACTTGTCCTACATCCGAGAAATTACACTTTTTGGTCAACTTGGGATATTGACGTCCCCACTCTATCGTACCCACAATTCGCTAGTTTGTCTGTTCATTGAGATACTGTCTCGGGCTCATTTTTAAGCTTGTGCTCAGCTCAATTGTATTTATATTTAGTGATTGTGAGTTCCCCTGTAGGCGTCCCTTACTATGCCAGCATAAATTGCGTGAGTGAGTGAGTATGGTTTTACGCCGCTTTTAGCAATATTCCAGCAATATCTCGGCGGGGGACACCAGAAATGGGCTTCACACATTGTACCCATGTCGGGAATCGAACCCTGGTTTTCGGCGTGACGAGCGAACGCTTTAACCACTAGGCTACCCGACCGTCCCTGCCAGCATAAAGAGGTGGGTAGCAGAGTTAAGGCGTGGCAGTGAGAGCATAGAAGACGACCCACGTCCTGGAAGGCCTACCACGTCAGCAACACCAGAAATTATCCAAAGAATCCACGATATGGGGATGACCGACCGACGAATGACTGAGCTTCATGTTTCTGGTTCAGTAGGCATTTCCCAGACGAAAGTACATCCCATTGTAACAGGAACTCTGGCAATGAAGAAAGTATCAACTTGCTGGGTTCGAGGGGTTCTGATATCTGATAAAGAAAAGCCCCAGGCACAACATGTCTCGTAACTACCTAGCTCTGTTAGAAGCTGATCCGGAAAGGTTTTTGCAACGATTTGTGACTATGGAAGAAACCTGAGTTCGCCACTTCCAAACAACAATCAAAACATTTGAAGCGTATGACATCACCACCGCCAAATGAGGCAAAGACTGTCCCATCAGCTGGAAAGGTTGTGGCCTCCGTGTCCTGGTAAATGCCGAGTGTGTCATTACGGCGGAGACATTCCAATATTCCAAAGGGCCTGACAATAAACCGAACATATTATGCTGTACGTTTGAATCAGTTACGAGGTCAAATTAAGACTAAGAGACTTAGGCAGCTGAGAAAGGTTTTGATCTCCCACACTTGGCCCTCAGCGCACAAAACAGTCATTGCCGTGGCTACAATTCACGAGTGTGGGGATTTGAACTCCTTCACCGCCCATCTTGCTTGCTTTACTTCCATCCATTCCCAAACATGACGAAAGCTCTATCCGGAATCGACTCGAACAATGGCGTCATAACAGTTGTGGAGAACGTTTTGGACCCCCAAAGAGAAGGACGTCTACAAAACTGGGATAAAATCCCTCCAACGTCGTTGGCGATAGTGTATCAGTGTGGAAGGGGATTATGTTGAAAACTATATCATTGTGAGGCTCAGAACTTATCAATCAACCCTCGCATGTTGCTGGGAACCTGTTTCAACCCGAGAACCTATGTGATTTAGATAAGAATGACATCGAAAAGAGAGCTTCGCATTATTTCTCAAATCGGTCTCCACATTCGTCCGCGTAAACATACTGCCAATGTATAGAAACCTGTTAATGAGTATTGGGGGCACGGGTGGCCAATCGTCTGAGGCGCCGCAATTCGCTGTGCAGAGTTGCGTCCCTTGGGCACGCCAGAAACCTATGATTGTGGGTTCGAATCCCGGTTTCCCCGATTATTTTTCTAGGTTTGTCAGCACCATACCCGGGGTCGTGGGTTTCACAAAAGTGGTAAACGTCACAGACCTGCATCACTTCAGGCTTTCCTCCCCCACTAAGCTATCACGCCGTGATGTAACTGGAGTACTGTGACATGCGGCGTTAAACCGAACTCATTCATTCACGTTTTATGAGCATACAAATCCCAAAATCACTTCAGTCTGCTTCATACGAAGTGAAGAATGGCCATATTATAAACATCAAGGAGTTCCGGTGACCACCCGACCCATTAAATCACCCCTAACGACCAGGGGGCGGTCGGGTAGCCGGGTGGTTAAAGCGTTCGCTCGTCACGCCAAAGACCCGGGTTCGATTTCCGACATGGGTACAATGTGTGAAGCCCATTTCTGGTGTCCCCCGCCGTGATATTGCTGGAATATTGCTAAAAGCAGCGTAAAAACCATACTCACTCACTCACCTAACGACCAGCATTGGTTGATGGAGCCCAATTCTGATCCCGAATCCCCATGGCGTCGATCGAATTTCAAGATTTATATTTCGTACTAGTGCATGAGGTTTTGTTAAATTTAACGGTCAGCACATGTACGATGATTTGTTTATCTTGACTGGAAGAAATAAGGGTTTAAAAGGACCACGTAACGTTATGCTTGAGCGAACTGAAATGAACAGTATTATTTGTGTGCTGCCGATCAGGTGCCTCACTCTGGCAGTGTGGGTTCCAATCCCGGACGGAACTCAACCCAAAAAAGTACGAGAAACTGTACTTTACTCAGAAAGTGTTATCCCAAATATTATAACATTATTATTTGAGTGCCACGCGCGACGCGACATTATGTATTGTTTGTTTGTTTGTTTGTTGTTTGACGCCACACTGAGAGTGAACGAAGAAAGATCTTGCAACATACATTCACGCGGGCCAGGTACTTCTGAGATTCGAGTAAGTTATTCTTTTCATTTCGGATTAATATAGACTCACACGAAGCTCGCGGGTAATAAACTACAACATTGCTTGCGTACTAAATAGATCGTTGATAAAGTGATGTTGCAGGACCCTACAGAATAGTTTTTGGTTTTTTTGAACGCCGCTCTCAGCAATATATTCCAGCTATATGACGGCGGTCTGTAAATATTCGAGTCTGGGCCAGACAATCCAGTGATTGACATCATGACCATCGATCCACGCAATTGGGATACGATGACATGCATCAACCAAGTCAGCGAGCTTGACCCCCCCGATCCCGTTAGTCGCCTCTAATGACCTTCAAGCATGTGTTTGTACAGCGAAAAATGTGTCAAAAACCTCCCCATAAGAGATATGAGGGTGTCAACCCACCCTCTCCCTTGGCATCCGGCATACCATGTAAATTGTCTTGGCGTTCAGTTTTACAACTCCCGAGTCATATCAGTGTACAACGCTGGGACAAGTACATTAGACTGGGATTCACATAAAATGCATGACCATGCGTGTTCATACGCTTAGGGCTTACTATTTATTTACATATCTTTGCAAGAAAAAAATGACGAAAATAAATTTCAACATTAAAATATTGGCATCCACGTAGCAGATTTAACATTTGAATGGCATCCAGCGTAATTCAGTGCGGCATACGGACAACCACTTAAAGGCCTCGGCGTGAAGATCCGGGGTAGAATAGATCTTCAGCAACCCATGCTTGCCGTAAAAGGCGACTATGCTTGTCGTAAGAGGCGATCGGGTGGTCAGGGTCGCTGACTTGGTTGATGCTTGTCATCGATCCAAATTGCGTGGATCGATGCTCATGATGTCAATCACTGGATTGTCCGGTCCAGACTCAATTATTTACAGACCGCCGTCATATAGCTGGAATATTGCTGAGTGCGGCGTTAAACAACAAACAAACAAACATCACTTAAAATTAACCTCGACCGTAAGCTGCGTGCAAAAGCAAGCTGCTTGATTAAATATATAAGTTTTCTAGAACAAAATAACTAACTAATATTTTTTTCTATTCTCCATGCTCGAAGTTCATACAATATTAATGCTACTCAAAATTGACCAGGATTTAGTATATTATACCAGAGTACTACAGGCCTTTTAATTACTTAAAATTGAAGTCGTTTACGAAACAGTCTCTTTCATTAATTGGAGTGCGGAAGGTCCGGGGTTCGATCCCCGACCGCGTCATACCAAAAGACGTTAAAAGATGGTACTTGTTGTTACCCTGTCTGGCGCTCGGCATTAAGGGGCTAAAACAAGGACTGGTCGGCTCAGAGTCAGTATATTGTGTCTGAGTGGGGTATTCATGTTAAAATGCGGCATGGTATCTCAGAGAGCTAGCACTATCAATCGGCAACAGTCCGGACTAGTACAAGCAGCCACACACACACACACACACACACACACACACACACACACACACACACATGCATAAGTGAAATAATCTTGGACGTGACGTTGAACCCCATTTCACCTCACCTCACCTTTCATTAATTGTATTTCGCCCACCTATTCGGTTATTTTTGGGGAAATCGGTAAACTATGTAGGCCTAATAAAAAAGAGGGCCCTTGTTCAAACATTCCCCATATCCAGTGTATTTTATTTCCATACTTTGACATAAAAGCTAAACAGGGAGTCACATATCTTTAACTCCATTGTTATACAATTAGTGTGTTTACAAAAGTAATTATATATATATAAATCCCATGCGAATATCAACCCATTTTCGAGCAAAATAATGCATTGACGTAACTGTTTATGTGGCATACACTATTAATATTTCGATTGACGTTTGTTTACTTTAAGCACACATCTGAAACCACTGACGAAATGGAAATCGATTTGCTGTGATCAGGGGAGATAACCCATACAAGCACCTGTTGTAAAACAGGGCGGACGACACCATGGATTACCGCAAGCTGATAAGTCATACGATGTGAAGAAAAGCCGTCAACTATGAGGGTTCACTTGGTGTGTTAGCGTAGCGTATCAATTGGTAAGTTTCATTCACTGATGGAGAATACAGCTTTCAGGTAGCACACTCTGGTTCATTTCCTGTTTCAGTCAGTCGTCGTGACTTTCTGTCACAAGTCTGCAGGTAGCGGCGATCATTGTCAGCTCAGTCGTGGTGTTTACAAATGAATATTGAATCGTTAACATGGTAGACAAATATTCTTATCACTGACGCATAAACGATTATCTAGATCTAATAGCAGTGTTATTCAACCATGGATGTTTCACATAACGCGAGTTTATATATAAACAAGCGTGGTCCGACAAATGGACTTTGAACCCAACGTACAGTCAGGCGAGGTGACTCCACAAATAGACTCGCTGCTTACTAATCTGTAATCACCAAATCGGTTGTGGCTTCGGGAGGGACAAGCGGTCAGCAGTACGGTGAATGACTGTCACACTGGCCAGTTTATTTAGATCTAGTCTTCACAAAAGTTTGACAGGTAAGTTTCAATTTAGAAAACAAGGGTCAGTAAAATCAGTTGGATCTATTTTTTTATTTATGTGAATTGTAAAACGGCGATCCAAAGGGCGTTTGCAAACACGATTTTAGACTATTGATTTTGTTTGACATTTCAAAACGCATCCAATCATGTAATATTCCACTGTGTATTTATTATGTCAATAGCTTCAGGTTCTAATGGGAGACGAGTAGGCTAAAGCTGTTATATTGGTCAATATATATAAATTGATACAGTATGTGAGAATTTGGTCAAAGTAATAATCATTGTATTTGGAGTTAGTACAGCTACTACATCTAGATATAATCAGGAGATACACGAGACTAGGTCTAAAATCTAGTCTCTGACATGAAAATATTTCACAGATAAGAAACAGCTAGTTGTTAAATTATCTCAATAAGGTATAATATGACAGAGCCCATGCAGAAACTATACCGTATGCCATGCAATAAACACCTAAGACGCTCTCAAAATTAGAATTAGGGGGCTCTTATTAAAATATAATTTTGGTATAAAAAAAAATAGAGTGTAAAGATTGTAAATTTCGTGGTTTATGGTGATAGCCTGAAATGATACAAAAGAAAAGTCTGGATGTGTTATATATAGACAACAGATATATTTTCCAGAATTCAATTGCCCATAATTAAGGGTGTATTTAAGACATGAGTGTGTATTATACACTAGCCAATGTATTAGCAAATATCGCCGTGGTTGCTTATTAGAGCTGAGCGCTTATTACATCAAATACAGTATTCATTTCGATGAAACTTCAGTTATCTATGCTTTCATGGGTGGTATTGGGCATTTTTGTTTCAGGGTCAGTATGACCTACAGTGTGTTTCAATTAAGTGCTGTCTAAGACAAAACTTGGGCTGTGGTTACCATGCAGGGGTGTGTGATGATTTGGCCAAGGCAGAGACCATATAATATTATATGGTCTCTGGCCAAGGTCATCAACACAATACATCAGGGTCTAACTCAGATTTGATACTGTTGTCAGTGCTAATGCTGTATTCTAAAATGTCATCAAAATCATGAATATGACGAATATAAAAAAGTTTTCATCTGAATCTTGCCAAGATGGACCAGTGTTAAAATGTTTAGAAACTTTTAGTGAAAATGGATAATTTGTTTGGAGCTATCAACTGACTATGGTCATTTGACAAGACACATTATGGATACCAACTTCCATATTATACATGTTATTAATGTACATGTTAAGGGCTACATTTTTCCTCTTCACTAGTAGCATGACAGAGTGGGAGAACATGTTTATATATAATGTTCTCCCTGCCAATATGTACATGTTATACATATTTTTTAAAAAGTGAAGCCATTTGTTGCAAGTTTGAACATGTTAAAGTTGCTGCATAATTAACATGATACAGATACAGTTAAGGTGAAATTAGGTTTAATGTCACGTCCAAGATTATTGCACGTATATAGCGACGTGCATGCACGTGTGTGTGGCTGTTTGTACTTGTTCGGGACTGATGCCGATTTATGGTGCTAGCCTACTGAGATACCATGCCGCAGTTTAACATGAATACCCCACTCAGACACAGTATACTGATTCCGAGCCGACCAGTCATTGTTTTAGCCCCTTCATGCTGCGTGCCAGACAGGGTAACGACAAGTACCATCTTTTAACATCTTTTGGTATGACCTGTTCTCTGGGCAGACGCTCTACCACTAGGCCACAAAAGCAGGGAGACATACTCTTCCAGTATAAATTACAAAACACAACCAGTCAACCAGAAGCTTTTACTGTTATCACACTGAGTTCCCAGAGACTCGCTGATGATAGATGAAGCGTGTATTTATCAGGAAATTATCATCTTGTAAAACATCTTTGCGACTTCATGTCTTTTGAAAGGTCTGATCCTACTGATTGAAAATATGAAAGCAATGTTTATCACATTACTTCAATAATGCTTAATAAATAATTGCTTAATTTAAAATTAAATAAATTGCAGGCCGTAAGTGCCTGCTGAAATTTAAGACTTATCAGCCCGAGAACAAATCTGTCAACCTCAGGCCTGCAGGCCGGTTTCTCTTTCAAACACTGCTCTCATCCTGTCATTCATCTGATAAATAGACAAGAAGTAGCTATGAAGCATTGTGTTTATATTATAAACAAGTTCTAATCCATTATATTCCTTGTCATATATATTCAACTTCTAAATACCTATGAAGACTCTTTATCAACTGATCAATTTTGTCAACATCATAGACCACGTTTATCAACAAATCAATAATCTACACCACTTTACATTATGGCTAACATTAACAATTGAAACCTGTTAACCTTAATTCAGTAGCATCCAGCTGGTTGTACCATGTATACTGTAGTACATATATTATCTCTTATTTCATGTAGGGGCCATGGGTGGCCGAGTCGTCTCAAGGCACCACGATTTGCTGTGCAGAGTTGCCTTCCTTGGGCATGCTAGAAACCCATGATCAACATGATCAAAGGTTCAAATCCCGGTTAGCCGAGACTCAAGGCTGATGTTATTTTTTTAAGTACATAATGACCTCATGCAGAGTCTGTATTTGTTTTATTATATAATAAGGAAACAAAAACAGATCAACATCCCAAACTATTTTAGTTACAATAACGTTTGGAGGTTCTAACAAACGGAGACAGCTTACAATATTAGGTTTGGGGAATACCACTTCATTTCCTGGTAAAACCCATTCTATTTTTAGTAACTCAACTTCTCAAGCCAATGCTTTGAGGTTATAATATAGCAGTTTTCATATCCCACATCAACCCAAGACCCCCATATCAGTCCGAGGACTGAAGGCCAGTCTGAGGACTGACATGGGGTCATATAGTAAGCTTTTTATCATATACCTTAACATCAAATACACTTTCACCTTGTTTGGAAGACATTGTCATGGGAAAGCTAGCCGAGCAGATGACACCCTTAGGGGTGTTACTCTAATTTCGCCCAGGATGATATCCATATCGCACGCCCATATAAAATGCATTGATAAGCCATATCAGACCAGCAGGGGGTATAATAATGGTCTGGCTATTACACCCCAGTGATAATTATGACCATCTGTATGTTGGCATATCGTAATGCAAACAGTGTCATATCATTGATAGTACAAAACAAATGAGATAATTTACGCTATCATATATCATTCTGTTGAAAATTGTGATGAACAGGTTTCTCCATCGATAATGGATGATGAGTGGATGACTGGTTTAGTGGCAAATGTGAGTTTTTATTCCCCGCCACGAAGTGGGGCGGGGGATATTTGAATTGAGTTCGTCCGTCCGCTTCTTCTCAATGGGGACAAGTTTTCTCAGAAACTATTGAAGTTAAATGAATGAAAGTTTGCATGCTTATCTTAGAGATATTTGTCAAGACTGAGTTCGAAAATTGGTCCTTTCAATTAATTGTTTGCAGAGTTGTGGCCTTCGATCCATGTTATTTGTACAATGTGGGCAAGTTTTCTCAGAAACAGCTGAAGTTAGCTTATCTAAGAGATACTTATTAAGATTGAGGTATTTTTTCCAGAGAAAGGGCCTTTTGTGTGCATTTATTTCACATTTAATTTTTTTTTCAGATGACAAAAAGCGGCCCAAGTGCCTATCTCTTCTTAAGGCTCCATGTAGCTCTGTTTTATAGATTTTGTTCACTACTATATGAACAAACAAACTTCTAATGTGCCTCGTGATGGGGGATAGTGATAACGCTGTTTTCTTGTCCTTTATACTTTGGTACCTGTAAACACATGGTAAAGATAATGGTTTCTACCTAATCAAAATGGTCCAATTGACATATATGAATATTTAAAAAAGAGATTTAGCTTTACATTGTTGTGTCTTGAATGCAATTTAAAATATCTCTGAAACTAAAAACTAAAAAAATAATTAATTTGTTTTTTTCAAAATGACATCTTTTTCTAATGTGCCTGCAAAAGGCACTTAGTTTGGAATCCATTATCCTGGATAAATCTCTATACCTATGATACAACAATTCAGATACCTATGATCGTGGTTTTGATTCATAGATTCTCCTTGATTTAAATTTTCTAGGTTTGTCGGCACCATACCCATGTTTGTGGGTTTCACCGAGTGGGAAACGACTAAGACCTGTATCACTTCTGGCTTTTTTCCCACATTAAGTTTGTGTTCCCTGATATAACTGAAATACTATTCCAACTAGTATTAAGTGCAACTCACTCACTCACCTACAACTCATACTCGTGTTTGCTGAAATTGTATTTTATCACTGATCGATTTATGCATGATAACAACGGATAAAAATGAAATATTTCAGCTAATAATGGATATTAGCGGCATCAAGAACTCATGGTATATAAACAAAAATAACATTGTAACATTCCCCTCCAGGGTTTGTCTTCTGCTATGCTGAACGAGAACCACAGAGACCTCACTAACAAGATGTCGGACAGTGACTTTATCGGAGTTCTGGGGGTGACCAATGTCTCCGATGTTGCCATGACGATCACCGTGGCAACTGTCAGTCTGTACCTGATGATGGGTTTGGGGGTGTACCTCATGTGTCCCAGCCTCATCCTCCAGGTGTATTTCAAGTAAGTCCACTTTGGTTAGTGACAGAAGAATATAGGCAACAAAGCAGCGGTAGAAACTAACGTTTTAGCTGACTTGTTTGATGCATGTCATCGTATCCCAATTGTGTGGATTGATGCTCACAATGTCAGTTACTAGATTGCCTGCTCCAGACTCGATTATTTACAGACCGCCGTCATGTTAGTGAGTGAGTATTGTTTTATGCCATTTTTAGCAATATTCCAGCATTATCACAGTGGGGACACCAGAAATGGGCTTCACACATTGTACCCAAGTGGGGAATCAGACCTGGGTCTTCGACGTGACAAGCGAATGCGTTAACCACCAGGGTTCCCCACCACCGTCATGTAGCTGGAATAATTGCCGAGCGCGGCGTTAACTAACAACTGTGTTCCAGCTGGTTTTTGTAACTGCCTGTCCTCGTGGACTGGCAACTCTAAAAATTACCAGTCCCCTCCTAATTTTTGTCAGTCACAACTTCAACAAATAAAAAAGCCTATGAAAATGACCTTGTTATATTTCTTTCAACATCATGTTCAATGCAATGACATCATCTCTGAATTAACTCAGTTAGATCTACACATCATTCACACAAAGTGCAGTCACAATTTTCTCTCTTTTTATAATATTTCAAGACGAAGTCACTACAAATATACTTATAACCTTGAAGCAAATGTTATTCTGATGGTAACAGACAAGCTGACTTTGTTCGAAAAATATACTTATATGAATATCACAGATTTATAAGGTACTTTATTTGCCATTCCACAGGGACTGAGTGGCATGACTCACCGGTCCAGGCCTAATCATGCTAATTTTTCCGGTAAAAAAATGGTAATTACCGGTAAACGGGAACACTGTAACAAACAAACAAACAAACAAACAATCTCCATAAATTTAGCTACATGTTTCAGACTGGGTACTATATATCTGAATGTACGAGTTGCTCGCAAAATTACCTCTGAAATGTTTTGATTATTTAGACTTAAGTAAAGAAAAGGATGCCATTCTGAGTCTTGGGGATGCAGAAGAGTATGAAGCATTGTAACTAGTCAGAAGTATTAATTGCATGTTACATGTAACTAACATTACGTTCTGGTAAGAAATACACTCAAAGTTAATTGTGTCAGTGGCTGACTATCTCCAATATAACAAAATCTCAATCTCTAATCATGCTAATAGGTAGAGATGCTATACTGTAAATGAATATGTATCACAATACCGGCTTATTGTGTTTTTCTAAATCATGCATATCTTTATCTTGTTGGAAAAGTTTACATACCGTATTCAGCGTAATAAGCGCCTTGGCGCTCTCAAAATTTGAAAAAAGGGGGCTCTTATTAGAATATTATTTTGGTGAAAAGAAACAAGAGTTGAAAGAACGTAAATTTCATGGTTCAAGCTGACAGCCTGTAATGTTAATATAGGACAGATATATTTATCCAGAATTTAATTGCTCATAATTAAGGGTGCATATAACACACGACTGCATATAATACAGGCCTCAAAGTTGCGACTAAAACTAAAGCGGAGCGCTTATTAAGTCGAATACGGTGACAACAATGGACACGTCAAACTGAAATTATGAAAACTGTTTCCCATGATAATAAAAGAGAAGCTATACTCGCCGCCTAAAGAAATGCGAACAATAGAAACATATAGAGAAGTATGTACTTTAAGAAGAGATGTTTCCATTGTGTACCAATTAATGAAAAAACTTACAATCAGTCAAGTGTTTCCACCGAGTGTCTTATATATATATTTCATATATTAACCAACATGTCATGTATGGTGTTCGCGTTTCTTTTGGTGGTGAGTATATTTGCAACCTGTGTCCTGTATATAATGTGTCTACTACGAGACTTTTGTCGTACTTGTGACCATAGCAACATCCAACAACATACAAAGTTGTCAAAAATGTGCAGGGGAAGTGACTGTTCGGGTTCCTAACCAATTACAGATGACAGAATGCATAATACATGAATAATTATTTCAATAAATTGTGATACGATATTCAGGCCAAGACCCATCGCTACTAATAAGTGTCATCAGTAATATTCTTGGATATGAAGTGAAACATAAGACCATAATAAATTAATTGCTAGAATATCATCCCTGCCCTACTCACGCTCTCCCCCTGCAAAAAATTAATTTGATTTCTCAGAGTGAAATGTTTAGAGCACTGTAACGACATCAGGTCAATTTTATGTTTACGATATGCCGTAAACTGGTCTACAACAGACTCTCATTGTGTGCCTGCCTATTATTATTTGCCTGCTTTCTTGTCAGAGTCTATGAGTCTTATGGAAATCATCAAGTTTGCTTGTGTTAATGTCAGTTGAGGATAAATTCATGAACACACAAGTAAAAGCTAGGGCAGGGAAAATGAAAATAGGTTTGACACAGGTACAACCGACTGCTACTGTTGAAATCAATGTTTATTTGTAATCTTTGTTATTTCATTCACCCTTTTGTTCATACCAAAACCAAGGTGTCCACTCTTCAACCTAAAGAGACCTGTGAAGATCCGGGGTAGAATAGGTCTTCAGCAACCCATGCTTGTTGTAAAAAGCGATTATGCTTGTCGTAAAAGGCGACTAACGTGATCGGGTGGTCAGACTCGCTGACTTGGTTGAAGCATGTCATTCATTGCTTGGATCGATGCTCATTGTGTCAATCACTGGATTGTCTGGTCCAGACTTGATTATTTACAGACCGACGTTATATAGCTGGAATATTGCTGAGTGCGGCGTTAAACAACAAACAAATAAACAATACTTAAAGACAATATACAAACAATATAAATCCCCCCCCCCTCCCCCTCTATATTTGAAAAAGAGAGTGGATGATAATCTAGCAATTAATCTATCCATTATTGCCTCATTGCTGGAATTTCCCCTGGATAGATAGTTAGACCAAGGTAAATCCCTCACAATGCAATCACTACGTGTCTACATGTTGGGTGTGTTCGTGACTGGTTTTGTTTGTCTCTGACAGATTTGCAGTGCTATGGAGTGGTATGAAGGTGAAGTTCGCGTCTCCTGACGGCAAGTTCCACTTCTGCTACGGAGAGAAGGGCCATCAGCGTGAGGGTAGTGTCAGCCTCCTGCTGCTTCACGGCTTCACGGCAGACCACTTCATGTGGACGCCAGTAGTGAAGGTGAGGACCGCTTGTTATCCTCTGTCATCACACACTACCTTAGTTCCAGAGGGCCAAGGGACACGTGTGGCCTTGTTATCTAAGGCACTGCAGTTCATTCTGCAGAGTTGCTCCTCTTGGGCATGCCCGAAACCAATGATTGTTGGTTCAAATCCTCGGTTTCCGCTGATTATGTTTCAAGGTTTGTCAGCACCATAGCCGTGCTCGTGAGTTTCACCAAAGTAGGAAACGTCTAAGACCTGCATCACTTTGGGCTTTTCTCTCACATTAAGCTGACACACCGTGATATAGCTGAAATACTGTTTAAAACGGAGTAAACCCAACTCACTCACTCACTCTACATGCTCTAGAGGGTCATAAATAGAGGTTATCACGCTTGTGTGTTTGGGGATGGTAAATATCCTGTATTAGGAATAAACACTATGTATTTAGCGAGCTTTGGCGAGCTAAGAACATAGTGTTTATTCCTAATACAGGATATTTACCATCCCCAAACACACAAGCGTGATAACTTCTTTATCATATAATGTCATTCTTCAATTCTGTGCTTGAAAATCGCTTTCCTTCTCTCACAAACATTACCTAATCATTGCAATTTTTCCTGGAATGTGCGCATGAATATATATTACATCGGAGGATAAGTGATGTGTCAGTCAGACAGTGACAGTAGCCAATATGGTTCCAACAGAAACTAGTTTCTTATACACTAGCATAACTACATATATGCAATTGCCTACACAAATTGTTTTACTTGCCTTTCGCGATAATCCATCGGTCTGTCTGATCGAGTAACTGCCATGTATCAAAGGGAAGCTACTCTAACCCTAGTCTATGAAACGTATGGCCACAGTCAGACTTTGTTGACAGTCGGCCTGTATTGTCATTATGAAGTGCAGTCAGATGTACACACAGCGATAAACATGATAAAACGAAACAAGGTAACAATTCGAACATATTTCGACCAAATCCAACTGTTTATTATATAAATTTGTGGAAAAGGTTTCAAGCCGCAGAGGTCTACAAGCACAGATATTGAAAGTGATCCCGCTTGGCTGGTGCCCCCAATAAATTGTTTAATTATTTCGCAGTTATTTCCAAAGTTGCCAAAACTTGTAAAATGCCTTAGCTACGTCACATTTAGACACTGGTTTTCAGTATATTAGACTATTCTTTTCATAATGATAGCAATTATCCCAGTAGTTTCTCCAGATTCCTGATGGCTAATTCTGACTCAGTCGCCGAATGACAAGGGCTACGCCATGTTTGTTTATAAACTGTGAAAGTAGTCCCTACTTGACCTTTGATATTTGCATCTCTATACGCATATGACCCCAACGGATATTGTTTCTATCCGTGGGCTTTATCCTGTTGAGAAGCCAACCCATTATATGATAAAGAACCCTTATGTGGCCATCGACTAATTGTTCATTAGCATTGTGAAAATTATTTTGGGCATAATTTAATCCTTTAATCTCTTGTTTGGTCAGCGCATACCGTCCAGTGTGCATGTCATTGCCATGGACAGTCCAGGTCATGGTGGCAGCAGTGAACCTGAGGAGGGCGACCTTGACTACTCCTCTCAGGTCAAGATGATCAGGCAGGTCAGTGGCCTAGCAAGGCAGGGGTCATCTGTCACTAAAGTGGGAGTCCCTTTTGATACAATGATTGCCGTTCCATGTTGAGCATTGGTCAGAAATGTGTAAAATGTGGTGGTTTGGATATTTTTGATTTTGTTGGTGGATGTGAAGATTGAGTGTGGATGGAGGTAAAAGTGATGTTTCTGGGAGCATGACAGTAAGTGTTTTTAGGCTGTGGAAAGGGCAAGACTGTTTTGGGATCGTGAAGATAAGGTACTAAGTAATATAGATATAGGATGAGTGACAGTACTTTATCGTGATATGGAGGTACAGTTGAGAGAACAATGGGGTAACAGCCATATTGTTCTCACAACTGTTTCATGTCAAGTCCTGTCACAAGACCTCTAGCTGTCTTAGAGCACACCCAAGTACTCCAGTCCCATGTCAGTAATGTGTATACTATGAACATGATGAACAGTTCTGCCAACCGGCACTTTTCACTTGGTGCCGTTTGGCTCAGATGTCCACGCATCTCAAGTGGCACTCTTGTTTGAAGAGTACATCATCGGGGATATAATTGTGCTATGCATGACCCAAGTGACACACAGTTATTGGTTCAGCCTGTGAAGAACAGGGTTAGAAAATGCCTTCAGCAACCCATACTTGCTATGGGTTGGATGGTCAGGCTCGCTGACTTGGTTGATGCATGTCATCGTATCCCAATTGCGTTGGTCGATGCACATGTTCTCAAACACTGGATTGTCTATTACAGACTCGATTATTTACAGGCCGCTGTCATGTAGCTGGAATATTGCTGAGTGCAGCCATAAACAACAAACAAACCTTGCTTTGGCTGTATATTGTACAGGGGATTCAGGGTTAGAATATGTCAACTGGAACCTGTGTGGGTCGATAAGAGGCGACCAAATAGATAGAGCTACAGAGACATGTATGCACACAGACATGCATGCACACACTCACAGAAACACACACTCTATCAGCATTGAATCCAGCTGTTGAGATTCGAATCTTGCGTTTTCCAGTTTGTGGAGTTGATTGGCCTAGACAAGCAGCCATTCCACATCGTCGGTCTGTCAATGGGCGCAGCCTTGGGGGGATTGTTTGCTGCAGAGTACCCACAGCTGGTTAAGAAACTGACCCTCTCATGTCCATCCAGTAAGTGACCATCTCAATGGTATCATGATTTTCATTTAGAAGTAGTCAAATCATTGTGGCTTTATAGTTTGGTTTAACCTTTATATTTTGGAGCAAACTGATTGGTCATGTGTTCACACATTACAGGGAAACATACCATGTGTGTGTTATTATCAATTATATTCCAACTTTCATCATGGCTGTCATTGTAGCTATATTGAAAATTATTACCAATTGTACAGGGAAATCTTAGTCCAGAAGACCACATTTGTGTATGCACATCTCTATGAAAGTGCAATAATTTCACCACCCTCTTAATCCAGAAACCATCATGGATTATAACTGAATCTTTATTTACACATCAAACACATCTAAATTCAAATAAATTTAAGTATTTGAAGATTTGGCTATAATCCCCAAATTGACTATTTTTACAAAAGTGCATATTTTCTTTTCAGTGATCACTCCAACGCCAAGTCCATTTGCAGCAGAACTGAGACAGCATCACGAAGATGGCAGGGACTTTGATGTCACAAACTGCATCTTGTTGCCACAGAATGGAGCCGAGGTGCAGGAGATGCTCAACTTCAGCAGATTTTACAAGACTTACTTCCCTTACCAGGTACTTACCTCCCTTTTTGGGACACCTGGCAATTCCACTACAGGCCCCGTCTCCCCATGATACTTTTTACACAGAAGTCAGCAATATCATGGCGGCCTGGTAGTAACATCTGCATCTGCCAAGTCAGTTATTGTTTCATGAGGAACATCTCTTGCTGACAGGGTACAATGAAAAGGAATCAACCCACTGCTTGTGTGCATGTTGCCATACCCAGAAAAAGAACTGAATGTTCTTTTATGCCACTGTTAGCATAGGAGCAGTCTGTAATGGCCACCGCTTGGACCAAGCTGTGTGTGCGGCATGATCAACAATCCCAAGCTGTCGGGGATGATGAGTGAGTGAGTGAGCGAGTATGGTTTTACGCCGCTTTTAGCAATATTCCAGCAATATCACGGCGGGGGACACCAGAAAAGGCTTCACAAATTGTACCCATGTCGGGAATGGAACCCGGGTCTTCGGCGTGACGAGCGAACGCTTTAACCACTAGGCTACCCGACCGCCCCTCGGGGTATGATGACACCAGCTTGTTGATGTAGTTATGCCTGATTTGTTTGTTTGTTTGTTGATTAACGCCGCACTCACCAATATTCCAGGTATATGACGGCGGTCTGTAAAATAATTGAGACTGGACCAGCCGATCCAGTGATTGACATAATGAGCATCGACCCACGCAATTGGGATCGATGGCATGTATCAACCAAGTCAGCGAGCCTGACAATCCGATCCCGTTAGTCGCCTTTTACGACAAGCATAGTCGCCTTTTACGGCAAGTATGGGTTGCTGAAGACCTATTCTACCCCGGAATCTTCACGGGTCAGGTTATGCCTGAAGCAACATGTTACCATCACAGTTTGGTGCTCCTGTAGTAGATGAGGCTTGTAACAAGGGCTGCTCTTGGTTGCAGATTTTACAAGGTGCTGCTGATATACGGAAAAAGAAGAATGATTTCTACTTGAAATGTAAGTCAGTTTGTATTGTTATAGAAGCGGCTGCTAGAAAATGGACTCATGCCACTTGATTGTGCCATTGATCTACCAACAGAAGTGTTTTCCATTTGAAACTTGATCATTGTTATGTCAGTATAGAAAATGACAATCTCATAAAAATCAGATCTTAGTTCTCGCTGCCGCTAAACAAAGAAGATCTGATGACATCCCTTTACGAGATTTGTGTTTTTAGCCCATGGACTTAAATAAATAAATCAGTTTAGCGTGATTCCCAGGCTATTGGATGTTTTGGAACGTGGAATGGGGTATTTAATGACACATAAGCCAGGACTTAATTTTGGATGAAATATGATAAAACCTGTTTAAGGCCCAGGGCTTACACATGTGCAATGCTGGTACTTTGATGTTCCTTGTCATTTGGTTGGTGATGGGTAGCTGGGTTCCTTTCCCCACATAGGCAGAAAGTAGGGATGGAACGAGTACAAATTTAATACAAGGGTACGCGACTCTATATTACCCCACCCAGTCTCAAGACTTGGGTTGAAAATGTCTGTCTACTGGAGCCCTGGCAAAACTATTTAGATCAAGTATTAAACAATCGGCTCATGCATACACTGAAGTTGACTGAAGTTTTATCTTTACCTTGTTTACTCATAAGTGACTTGTTGTGTAACCATACAGTTTTATTGTTATTGTTATTAAACAATGTATCACCTGACTACAACCAGTGTGAACCTTCTCCATCACTCATGAGATTGTTGAACTGTGAACTGAATATGCAGCCATATGATGATGATATCTTGATGGTGATAGTTGATATTTTCTCCTTCAGTATTCCTCTGTATTACTCATCAACGCAATACTCTCGAGGACAATCTGGAGAAAGTGAAGGTCCCTGTGCAGCTCATCTGGGGGAAGGAGGACAAGGTAGGTAACTCTGCCGGATATATATCGCAACATGTCGAAGGTGAAGGTCCCTGTGCAGCTCATCTGGAGGACAAGGTAGGTAACTCTGCAGGGTATATCTTGCGACATGTAGGGAGTCAAATTGCAGCTAATCTGGGGGACAAGGTAGGTAACTCTGCAGAGTTTTTCTTGCCTGACAAGTAGAAAGTAAAGGTTACAGTGCAGCGCATCTGGGGGACAAGGTGGTAACTCTGCAGAGTTTTTCTTGCATGACAAGTAGAAAGTAAAGGTTACAGTGCAGCGCATCTGGGGGACAAGGTAGGTAACTCTGCAGGGTATATACCGTGACAAATAGAAGGTGAAGGTTACAGTGCAGCTCATCTGGCAAGCTCCCTATACTATCGCCACCACCAATCAAAGCTCCCCACTGTGATACATGGCTACAACCATGCTTGGAGTTGAGCTCGCCTGCTAAATTATTTTCTTTGTTTATCAGTTTGAATTTCTGTTTCATTTACAACTATCATGTAATTGGTATAGTAAGAATGTAAGGGAGAAAGTTGGTTGATTTTCTGTTCGTCTGGAATCTCAAACCAATCCGATCAAACAAACAAAATGGTTAATTTATCTGGGAAATATGGTCAGTCGTAAACATTTTAAAAAATAACTGTGATGGCATTCCCAAAGACATTAACAAAAGTATAAACGTTACTACATTTTGGGTTAGAAGACAAATTTCAAGATTCTTGTAATGGTGGCAGCGATGTTACCGAGAGTGTAGCGAAGGTGTCACGGACTGGGAAGGAGCTTGCTCATCTTGTGACATGTAGAAGGTAAAGGTCACAGTGCAGCTCATGTGTGGGACAAGGTAGGTAACTGTGCAGGATATGATATGTTTAAAGCGGTGTGTAGAGAAGATGTCTTCAGTATAAGCTGTACACACTGTAATGTCCAGTCTCAGATGTCAGCTTTCTGAAACAGTTTGGCTTCATTTCTTTACCACCTTGATTCTGAAAATTCCTGGGAGTGTGAATTTCAAAGTATCAGAAAGAAATTAGATATGCTGGTTTGAATGCTTTGTTCATTCATACCAAGAAATTAGATGCCTCTGCATGGATTGGCTGATTACAAAGTTAATCAGATGCATCCTCCAATGGAGATGTTGTCAGATATTCTTCAGAGAGGTATCACATCAGAGTAGAAGGTCTGATTTTTCTGAGATTTTGTAATGTCAAACATCAAGGCGCCTCTGTTCCAGGGCAGAATCGGGCGGTCAGGTAGCCTAGTGGTTAAAGCGTTCGCTCGTCAAGCCGAAGACCCGGGTTCCATTCCCGATATGGGTACAATGTGTGAAGCCCATTTCTGGTGTCCCCCGCTGAGATATTGCTGGAATATTGCTAAAAGCGGCGTAAGACCATACTCACTCACTCACTCACTCCAGGGCAGAATCTGTCCCAGTAGCTCAAACTTGTGGTACACGTCTCCTTTCAGCAAAGTGATCATAGCGCTATGACTTCCTTATGCCCATGTTAGATTATTCAACTTACGAGAGCAATTCACTTTGATACCAAAAGATATTATAAAGTGGTACTTGGTAGCATTAATAGGATAAACAAGGACTGGGTCCACATGCACAAAGCGACCTTAGCACTACAATAATCATAACTCCCATACTTTAAGTTCATAACTTTAACATAGACTTACGATAGGCGTATCGCTAAGATCGCTTTGTGCAAGTGGACCCTGGTCTTTAAAACAGCAGCATGGTATCTCAGTGGGCATTGGACCAGACTAGTACAAGCATCCACACCCACACACACCTATATGCATGTTGCTATGTAAGTGCAATAATCTTGAATGCAACATTAATCCTAATTTCGACCGCCTCCGTGGTCTTGTGGTAGAGCGTCCGCCTGGAGAGTAGAAGGTCCGGGATTCGATCCCCGGCCGCCTCATACCAAAAGATGTTGAAAGATGTTACTTGTTGTTACCCTGTTACCCTTACTGTGTCTGAGTGGGGTATTCATGTTTAACTGCGGCATGGTATCTCAGTGAGCTAGCACTATAAATCGGCATCAGTCCGGTCTAGTACAAGCAGCCACACACACATACACGTGCATGCACGTCGCTATATAAGTGCAATAGTCTTGGACGTGACGTTAAACCCAATTTCACCTCACCTAATTCCAATTTCCCCTCCCCTCCTCACTACTGTTATTGTTATTTATTTATTTATTTTCAGATCATAGATTTGTCTGGCATAGATGCCTTGAAGACTGGACTGTCCAAGGTAGATCGTGTTGACATAATTCCGGAGTGTGGACACGCCATTACCCTCGACCAACCAGAGACCTACACACAAGTCATCATGGACTATTGGGCAGGAAGGGAGACAACTCACACGTGAAACATACTCTTGAGGATCTACACAATTGTTTGCTCAGGGTAGTTTTCTAGTCTTGAAGATTTTAGTTCAACTTTTTGTTGGAAGTTTTATTCATTTTTATCTCCAGGACATTATCTATCTGAATGTATGTTGGCAGTCAAAATGTAGAAGTAGTAATTTGTGTTTAGGAAACTCTGTGTTGCTGAGTAAAGGGTATATGTCTGTTTATGGAAGGGGACTTAGCAGGCTTTGCTATGACGGCACTATGGAAATACCCTCGCGCCCCTTTGCTGTGGTCTTTGGGGGCACATTTTATGGATTTGCTTTCACCAAAAGGTCCTCTTCCAAAATTGTTGATAAATGTGATGGTCAACAAAATAATTGTATTGTCACAAGCTGCCGGCAGTATGACAGAAATCTGCTGCCATCAGCAATCGAAGTATCTCAAATATTTAGTGATTTACTTAGCCAGAGGGAATGGTACCTTGAAGTATGAATGCTTTCTTGAAAATTGAATAATTGGCGTTTAAAGTAGTTTTGTCATTTAGGCTAAAAATAAAAATAGACTTGGTTCAAAAACCATCTTATATTTTTTAAAGCCTTATGTTGTAAAACTATGAGATGGGAAAGAAGACTCTTAGCATTGTTGGTCTGCCTGAAATATAACTAGCCAGGGACATCACACTAGGAGTTACTTACAAGCAGTAAATGTACACTGTATACAATGTACACTGTCCTAGCAATAGGGGCCATGGGTTTTATAAACTGGAAACAACAATGTGATGTTGATTTTCACGTTTATTCAACTACAGACATTGCAGAATGATTTTCCTGTTCTAAAACAACCAGTAAAATAAGAAAAGGCCTAAAAGCCAACTGTAATTTTGTGTTAAGTTTTTATTTTGTTTGGAATCAATCTACATCATCAAGGTCACGTTTACTTTTAACTAAATTCATGTCATGCCTGTTGTATTCTCTAAAATGTTTTTTTTTGTGAAAAGAACAAAATATGAAAATTAAAAAAGCAGTAATTTGAGATCATTTTTATCAGCTGATATAAATACTTGCCATATGAAATTATTCAAAGTTAAACAATTACTGTTGCAACCTGTCTCCTGCTAGCTGTCTTAGGTCTGATCATCCAGTGTGTTAGTTTGTGTCGGTACTTTCTGTCCCTGACTCATGCATGCATTTATGACACTGGACAGCATGTCACTTATTATGTGTATGTAATTGTTCTGCTGCAGTGTGAATGGATACTGACAAAGTACTTCTTTAACTTGAAAAGATGATCCTGAAAATAATTCCAGAGAAATGTTGAATGATGTATATTTTTACTTGAAATCAAAAGTTTTGATCTGTGAACAATAAATTCATCATCATCATCATCATCATCATCATCATCATCATCATCATAACATGAAATATTTTCTGCCAGCCAAATCATGTATAACCTGATAACAACATTGTATATATACTAGTCTCCTGTCTCAGAGGCCAAATGAAGTTCAAATAAGATGTTGCAAATCTTGTCCCTCATCCTGTATCAGGAAGTGCAGACTTGCTATGTACATTATAACTGTTAGACTGTGGGCACCTTAACCATGTTTGTGGATTCTGTCAAAGATCTTCGACCTGTAGGTTTTGTTCCAATGTTAAGCTGACTGGCTGCGCTACAAATGAAATACACATCTATGTGGCATTTGACCAAATATCCTCGCTTACTCTTGCGTCATTGGCTGTTGATATCTTTTCTCAACCATTTTCTGTATTTTGTGTATTCTACACATATGACTTGTCATCCGGCTACACACTTTATGTTTTCTTTGCACATCTATTTGTTTATCACAGATCTTTAATACTGGAACTAGTTTTAAGGACACAATGGCAGAATAGGTTCAGGGCCCACTTGCATGATGTAGTCTCTAGTGCTGTACTTTTTTAAGTCTACTTTAAAATTATGGAAGTTAAGATGATCTGAGCACTAAGACTATTGTAATTCTATGTTAAAGGATGGGAGCAAAGACGATCTTAGCACTAAGACTGTTGTTAGTCAATGCTAAAGTATGGGATTCTGGTCCTCAGTAACTTGGGCTTCTCTTTAAACAGTTATTAACAACCCATGAACCAAGTTTATTATGCATCCTTTCTCTGAAAAAGAATGGCCATCTGTTTTGTCCCAAAGTTGGGACATTATCTATAAACATTTACAACCTGAAATTCACCTATCTTTCTGTTGGTAGTTTTGTACTTGATTTCAAGTACGTTTTTTGTTTTGAAATAATCTCAAAGAAAACAATTGTCAATTATACTGTTGATGTTTTCTTTTACTGGATGCTGTCTGAAAACTCCTTGAATCCTTGAATAAAACATTCTGTTCATTTGGAAAACAAGATGGCTGAAAAATGCTGAATTGAATCTTTTTAAGACAAACAACTGTACGTTATGTATTAAGTGTTTCTGGTATATATTTGATATTTGCCCTTTTGTGTCTTTCAGTAATCACACGTTTCCTGAATATTTAATATTTATGTAGAGTAAAATCTGAGAAAATCAGAACCATATGAATCTGACAGTGGATAAAATTTTTGGATAACAACTTATTTTACTGTAATGGCAACGTTTTGGTATATATCCTTATACTGTTGTCAAGCTTGACAATGGTATAAGGATCTATACTGGAACATCCATAAATTATATCCACTTTGTCATCCGTCAACTTCTAAGAAACAATTCATATGAATCTGACTGGCAGCCAAATATACAGAAACACATCTGCAAGTTGATTATTTTTCTTTGATGATTTGTGTGGCCACTGCTTTGAACTACTAATATTGTGAAATTTAGACTGGTGAAATTTTCTGTACACTTGTCCCAGTTCCAGGAAACTTTCCATGGACCAAATACTGGCTTTCTAAAAGAAACTATCCTTCAGGTTAAAAAATCCAAAAATTGAGTGTTTATTTTCCAAATATATATCGGGCATAAGTCCATCCATTATCAATATTTCCTGGGTTTGAAAACACATTTTTTTCTCCAGTACCGATGAATATGTATGGCCACTTTGCGGCGTTGTCATTTTAAAAATTATTGCAATATGTATCATTTGAAAAGCTTCTCGCGTCATTCTGGTAATAACATGCAGTTCTAAGAATTAGATGTCACTGTTGCACTGTGTATCAGCAGTATATATTCATGGGTTATGGAGGGTTTTGTTGGTTTGGTTAAAAATGGACCTGTGATAATTCTATTTGGAGCGTAATTGGTTATATGATTGTTGATATACCCAAGGATAAGTACCTGACTTTTTTAGATGGGTTAGAGTGAGGTCTACTTCTGGCTTCACCATCTGCCTGGGAGGTTGGTTTGGTTGGTTTGTTGTTTTACGCCGCACTCAGCAATATTCCAGCTATATGACGGCGGTCTGTAAATAATCGAGTCTGGACCAGGGAATCCAGTGATTGACATCATGAGCATTGATCCACGCAATTGGGATACGATGACATGCATCAATCAAGTCAGTGAGCCTGACCATCCGATCCCGTTAGTTGCCTCTTGCGACAAGCATAGTCGCCTTTTACGGCAAGCATGGGTTGCTGAAGACCTATACTACCCCGGATCTTCACGGGTCGGGTAATGGAGGGAATAGTATTAAGGGTGAAGTTGGTAGGACTGATACTTTTGAGGGTTACTTACCTTCTGTAGTGTTGCTTTAATCAGATTTTACAGAATTGTATTTAATGTTTCCAAGTTTTCCAGCAATCTATTGATGCTATTGTGATACTTATGATGGTTTCTGATGCATTCTCATGTACAAATATGTTTGGCGGTATCCAGTTGTCTTTCAGAGTTACTTCCCTTGTCATGACTTCATGAGATGTTTTTTATGCTCAAATGTGTTCATCTCATATGCGTTCATATGATGGCTGATATTCCATGCAGATGTTGCTGTTCCATGAGTAATGGCGTTCCGTGTACACATCTGTGCAATAATGTAAATATACAATGTGAAAGATTGTTGTGTCAATAAATGTTTTATATGACATACTTGTCATGTGTGGTTTTTATTTATTGTGATTATTTCACTTATAAAGCGATGTACATGCACATGTATCATCTTTCCGAGTCAAGAGAGTTAACAGACTATTAAAGTCCAGTTTCCACCCTTGCCGAACTAGGCTAGTATTATGGAGTTACATTTTGGCTGTACTAACAAGTCTATGCATAGTTCAATTAAATTTATGCAACATAATCGAAAACCGGTTCGTAAACTGTCGTACAGATTTCGGTCGATTGCAGGATTTGCAAATCATGTGCACCGCCAACTCGTTGTCAACAGATATTTTCCAAATCTTTTCATGTTTTCAATCCAGGTGCTCACGTGATTTGATGCACTTTGTGATGTAAGACCCGTTTTATCACAATAGAGATCTTGATTATTGATCAGATCATCTTGACTGGGCGCCGCTATTTTGTTTGAAACAAATTCAAGTGATACAGAGGTGGAATTGGTCCATAGGAGATGTTTAGATGGACACGACTCAAAATAACCACTGGCTACGATCGAGCCCAGGAATTCCAGCTTAGTTCGGCAAGGGTGGAAACTGGACTTTTATAGTCAGTTAACTCTCTTGCCTCGAGAAGATGGCACGTGTATGTGTATTTGAACTAGTCTGTACAAATGCCAGTTTGATTGTGCTAGCCCACTGAGATACTATGCCACAGTTTAATATGGATACCCCACTCAGAATCCAGCCAGTTCTTGTTTTCCCCCCTTTATGCTGAGTGCCAGGCAGTGTAACAGCAAGTACCATCTTTTAATGTCTTTTCGTATGACGTGACCAGGGGATCGAACCACCAACTTACCCCTCTCCAGGCTCTATCCACTACACCACGGCAGCAGTTGTTAACAGCTGATGACAGTAAGGCAATAACAAATTAATTATTACATTGTCATTGCTGCTTGTTTTAGCTCATCAGACAAAGACTAGCTGATTTGTTGACTCGTCATCCAGGAGATCTACAGTGGTCCGGGACTATTTTGGAAAAGTTTTAATGAAAATGTTATCAGTTATGTGTGTCATTTTGTAGACCAACTAATTAATCTGTATTATTTCATTTATGTTATAATTGATAAGCTGCCTCTTTCATACAGTTTGGCCCTCACTCTATGAAGGTTCATACTCCAGTGAACTCACACAAAGTGAAAGTCAATATACCGATTTTGTCAGGACTTGGGATCAATCGGAAGTCTCAAATCGTGGTAACATGGGTCAGTAAGTGTGAAGCAAATTCTTAGTGTCCTTGTTGGTATCATGCCTGGAATATTGCCTAAAGCTGCACAACTAAATCAGCTTACTCGGTTTATATTGATATGCACACCACTATTCTGATACACAACAATCATAGTGATGCAAGAGATAGGTCACAGTAAGTTTGTTGTTTTATGTCACATTCAGCAATATTCCAGCCAAATGATGGCGCCTTGTGAATAATTCGACTCTGGACCAGACAATCCAGTGATCCATACCATGAGGGTACATGAGCCGAGCAAGTCATTGACTCTGACCACCCAATCCATTTGGTCACCTCTTATTATCAGCATAGGTTGGGGATCTATTCTAACCTGGAATCGACCCGTGAGGATCTGGGTAGTGCTTGTAGTAACAGGCGACTATGTTTGTCGTAAAAGACGACTGAAGGGATAGAGTGGTCAGGTTCGCTAACTTGGTCATATAGCTCAATGATTGCTGAGTGCGGCGTTAAACAACAAACATACAAAACTAACCCGGAATCCCCTTTTGGCAGTAAGAGATGGTAGAAGTGACAAATATTTTGCTTCTGTTGCCTCTGAATGTATAACACACTGTCTCAGTCAATTTCGATCATATGTTCTGCCAAAATGTATTGCCACACATGAATTTGAATATTGCAATCATAACCTACAATTGTATATTTGATTCCTTGTAAATGCAAAAATAATTGAGAAAGAAGGTCCTTTTCTACTTCCATATTGCTGTGGTTATAAAATCAGTAAGCTCAGTCAGTGGTTATTGTAATTTGAAACCCCTGATTTGCCAGTCAGTAATTTGAAACCCCTGATCTGCCAGTCAGAATCAAGTATCTTCCTTGGTCATGGTAGAGTGGAGAATGAATTAAGAGGTATGCTATCTTCTGTTTGATAACATTAATAAGAAACTGGAAGCCTGTTACATTGTACTTGAATATTTTTTTCAAATCAAATTAAGAGATATCAAACCTACAGAACCATACATTCAGATTGGAATCAGAGGTGAATCTCCCAAATATTATGACAAAATTGTTTGGTAAATTCAGCGTTTATTAAGATTGTCATTATATACACAATAGAGTAGAAGTGACAAGGTGGTTTAAGATTAAAATAGATTTATCTCACTAAAATGCATCACAGTCTTCAGCTATTACAACATATGCAATGGTTTCTCAATGAGAAATAAAAGAACAAATAGATCACACAGGTCCATTTTGTGACGGTCTTGTTAGGTCCCAAGACAACCACACTAAACATACATCTAGCCTACTTCATGGGCTGTTTGATGTTTGTTTGTTTGTGTGTTGTTTAACGCCACAATCATATAGTAATATTCCAGCTATATGACCGCGGTCTGTAAATAATTGAGTCTGGACCAGACAATCCAGTGATTGAGATCATAAACATCGATCCATGCAATTGGGTTACGATGACATGCATCAACCAAGTCAGCGAATCTGACCACCTGATCCCGTTTGTCGCCATTAACGACAAGCGTAGTCGCCTTTAACGGCAAGCATGGGTCAACCTATACAACCTGGGATCTTCACGGGTCGGGCTGTTTGAAGGTCCAGGGAGGCTACAAGACAACTGCACCAAACATACACCTAGCTTGCTTCATGGGCTGTGTGAAGGTCCAGGCATCGGCTGTGGGGTCATACACTTCACAACTGTTCAGCACCTTGCGTGCCCCGCCCAACCGGAATGAGTACGACTTACCTACAAAAAAAAATACAAAAAAATTATAATGATTAGTTGGAATTAAAGTACATCATGACCTTTCCCATATGTATTAGCAACCCTTTCAATATAACTGTAATAATTTTTTTCAAGTTTTCAGAACGGTCCCAATGATGCCAAAAACTATTTTGACCATGACCATGACAAATCTAGTCTAGTCTGTCATGCTTAACTGTCTATTGTGTTCATCTTCCACCCACAAAGGTACATATTTTCTCATGACACCTGTCATGTTCTTTAGGAACCTCTTGATACCCTTAAGTGCCTCTATAAAAATTGTGACACCACACTATAGCTTACCTGGACATTAGGGCTTGGACAAGTCCAAATTTACTACCCGGGTACCCACCCCCTATTGCCTGACCCTACCCGGTTACCCACTGTAGGTCTCAAGAGATAGGTACAAAATGTCCGATTGGGAATTCTTTTACCATAGCCCTGGCAAAACGTATTTAGATACATGTATTAAACAATCAGGTCATGCATACACAAGTCAAAACAAGTTCAAAGTTTTAAATTTTGTGAAAACAGGACATCTGTGTTGAATCCCACAAAAAAACAAAACAAATACATTAAGTACAAAATACGGCAATAAAAAGTTTCAGCTTACAATATGGTCGAAGTGCGAAGGTCACATTAAGGTCAAAATTTAAAACATTTAAACATTTAAACTAAATACGTACAAAATTTCTGCTGTCATATACCTGGAATATTACTGATTGCCACATTAAACAACATAAAAACAAACCAAATTTGATTACATTTTGATAAAACTAATGTTCATAAATGCATTTTAAATATGGCTGCTATGGCAGATGACTCACAAGTGGGTCACGTTATGACCCATTACTGGGACCCCTAAAACATATGACTGCAAGTTTCCATGACTCACAGTTATATACCTACTGGTAAATCACAGTTCCCATTCAAGAAAATAACTCCTACACTTACCCCCCATGGCAAAGATCTTCCCATCATGCACCACTGCCCTCAGATGACTTCGTTCCTTGTTCATGGCTGTTACGTATGACCAGCAGTTGGAGCGGGGATCGTAGCGCTCGACGCTGCGCAGACGTCGGTTGTTAAAGCCACCCACAGCATAGATGTACCCATCTGAGGAACGTCAGAACCAAATCAAATTAGAGTTCGGTGAGTTAGATTTTTTTAATTTAATATTTCAGTTATCGTATTCATCATAATAAGCACCCCAGGTGCTTCGAAAATTTTGAGCGGCATACAACGCAGTTCAAACTTCAATGAACTGTAACTGTTTCTATAACAGTTTCACAGCAATTGTATAGCCCTTCTGCTCTTCCTTTCCACTCAAAAACTAAAAACTGTAACATACACAGTAAAATATGAATTGTCATGTTACAGATTTGTTTAGAAGTTGGTCAGATGATGTTTATTGGAGCAGCGCGTTTAATGCGGCGAATACAGTATTTGATGACATGCCAGCTTAACGTCAGCTTTATGCGCGAGGATATCCCGAAGTAAAAATGTACTTAGAAGTTTACCATTCTGGTCGAACTACGTTCATTGGTCAAATCATGATAATAATTCTTTTGTTTTTTGTTGTTTAATCCCGCACTCAGCAATATTCCAGTAATATGATGGCGGTCTGTAAATAATCGAGTGTGGACCAGACAATCCAGTGATTGACATCATGAGCATCGATCCACGCAATCGGGATAGGATGACCTGCATCAACCAAGACAGCGAGCCTGACCACCCAATCCTGTTAGTCGCCTCATACGACAAGCAAAGTCACCTCTTACGACAAGCATGGATTGCTGAAGACCTATTCTACCCCGGATCTTCACGGGTCAATGATAATAAACCTATGATTAGCAGATCCTGCCACGGGTAAGGGATGCAACAGTGAATTGTTGTGCCTCTGACTACTGGGCTATCATTGACCTGCCAGCTCCCTATTCATGCAGAGTGTTTATCCATCCAGATCTCTATCAGCTGATTTTGTTATGAATGAGTTAATACAGATATATCTGAAACATGCTGAAATTGATATTATGACTTATGATGAAATGCTCTGTGAATGTTTGATCTGTATTACATAAACAGTGTCTTTGGGATCACTGCTACAAAATAGTGAGTGAGTATGGTTTTACGCCATATTCCAGCAATATCATGGTGGGGGACACCAGAAATGGGCTTCACACATTGTACCCATGTCGGGAATCGTACCAGGTCTTCGTTAAGAGGGAATGCTTTCAAAACTGCCCCTGCTACAAAATAGAAGTCACCAGTATCGGTAACATCACCAGTACAAAATGCACCAAGCACCATGCAGTATCAGTAATATCTATGGGATTTCGCTACGAAATAGAAGTCAGCAGTTTTAGTAATACCTTAGGACCATCAGTACAAAATAAAAGTCACCAGTATCGATAATACCTCGGGACCATCAGTATAAAATAGAAGTCACCAGTATCGATAATACCTCGGGACCATCAGTGCAAAATAGAAGTCACCAGTATCGATAATACCTCGGGACTATCAGTACAAAATAGAAGTCACCAGTATCGATAATACCTCGGGACAATCACTGCAAAATAGAAGTCACTAGTGTCGCTAATACCTTGGGACAATCACTGCAAAATAGAAGTCACCAGTGTCGCTAATACCTTGGGACCATCAGTACAAAATAGAGGTCACCAGTCTCGGTAATATCTTTCGATCAGTCATTCCTGGTAACATCTTTAAAACAAAAATAATTTCTAAACTATTAACATTCAAGGTACCTGTGAAATCTATCAGACATCCACTGGTCACTGACACATAGCTACAATACACTCCTTCATAACGTTCCACAAAAATATGAAAGAATTATGGATGCTTTTGAGTGGTAAATTTCTGATGTAATGATATCAAATGTCTCTTATGTATCCTGCGATTTCAAATATGTGTTTAGGTTGTTATATGTCAGTTTCATGTTTCATATGTTTAAATTAATTTACATGAATGCTTTTGCAACAAATAAATGATATTTCACATATAGCCCTCATGAAAATCTGGGTTAGATTGGTCTTCAGCCACGCATACTTGTCGTTAGAGGCGACTAATGGGATCTGTTGGTCAGGCTCGCTGACTTGATTGATGTAGATCCCAAATGCATGGAGCGATGCTCATGATGTCAATCACTGGATTGTCTGTTCCAGACTTGATAATTAACAGACCACCATCATACAGCTGAGTTATTGCTGAGTGCGACGGTAATTAAACAAACAAACAAACAAACAAACAAACAAACAAACATATGTAGAGTCTACAAGTTGGGCAGCTGCTCTGACTTACTCATCTCCACTGCATCAAATCTGGCTCGGGGTTCCATCATGCTGGCTCTGGTCAACCACTTGTTCTCGGTCGGATCAAACATACACATTATAGCCGTGGGGAATATCTCCATCTGTGAGAAGCGCTCGTCCCCGCCGAGCACATACAGGTTCCCCAAGCAAACCACAGCAGCATAGTTTGACCGACAGTCCGACTCACTTTGGAAGAAGTCAATTTGAGGCATCGTCTCCACCCTCCTGCAAGCCAGGTCTCCGTCCTCCAACTCAATGTGAACACACTTGACGTCTGCTTCTGTTACTGTGTACAGTTTGTTGGAAGAAGGACAGAGAGTTATTGCCCCTGATTTCCTGAGACAGTCATGGAGGACGTTCACTGCCTCGGGGGAGAAACACTCGGTTGCGTCATGCCATTTGTTCTGTAGAGTGTCATATTCATAAAAACCGGCACGTTCCGTTTCGGGGTTTATTTGTGGAGAGTTCGTCAACTCAAATGCTGTACAGAAAAGTCGACCATAGATGTTGAAAGCTTGAACACTGGATGCAAGAATTGGGATATTCTCCACATTGTCCCAGCTATTCTGGCGAAGGTCGTAACGTTCAACTGACCTCAGTCTTGGACACAGGGGGCTGAAATATTTATTGATTTTATATTTCTAACCGTAACTGAATGCAGCAATGATACTTACCAAACACAACCTTGTGAAAATTGTGAGTATTTTGTTACGACTTTGTTGAAAAACCCCAAAAACATTGGGAAATTATTATATTATAAAATCCTGTAAAACATTGGAAAACAAGACTTAAGCAGACCTTTTAACAGAGATTTATCTGGAACTGAGTGTGTGTAGCAGCCAAACTGGGAAACAATTGTTATTTTGATCAAGTATTTTATTGATCTCCTTCCACTATTTATACATGTTTTTTAGTAAGATGAGGCGCGAGTAGCCCAAGTCTTTATAAATAAACTTCTGTTCTTTTCAAAATTAGTATTATTTTAAGTTCTTATTTTCTTAGATTCAGGGGTCTTTTAACATTGTGCGATGCAGTAAGGTAAAACTAATTATAGGCTCTGTTATCAGTGAAACACAAGTCACCTCTTCAAAACCATCACATTTGGGGCTGAATATCGGCCGCTGAGCAGGTCTAGATAAATCCCTGGCAGGACTAGATAAACTCTGGGCAGGTCTAGATAAACCCTTGGCAGGTCTAGATAAACCCCTGGCAGGTCTAGATAAACTCTTGGCAGGTCTAGATAAACTCTTGGCAGGTCTAGATAAACTCTTGGCAGGTCTAGATAAACCCCTGGCAGGCCTAGATCACACCCTGGCAGACCTAGATAACACCCTGGCAGACCTAGATAACACCCTGGCAGACCTAGATAACACCCTGGCAGGCCTAGATAACATCCTGGCAGACCTAGATAACACCCTGGCAGACCTAGATAACACCCTGGCAGACCTAGATAAAACCCCTGGCAGGCCTAGATAACACCCTGGCAGACCTAGATAACACCCTGGCAGACCTAGATAACAGCCTGGCAGACCTAGATAACACCCTGGCAGGCCTAGATAATACCCTGGCAGGCCTAGATAACACCCTGGCAGGCCTAGATAACGCCCTGGCAGGCCTAGATAACACCCTGGCAGGTCTAGATAAACCCCTGAGAGGTCTAGAAAAACCTGACAGGTTCAGATAAACCCGACAGGTCTACATAAACGCCTGGCAGGTCTAGATAAACCCCTTGCAGGTGCAGATAGCTCTAGATAAACCCCCTTGCAGGTCTAGATAAAACTGACAGGTCTGGATAAACCCCTGGCAGATCTAGATAAACCCTGTATGTAGAGATAAAAAGCTGTGGAAGTCACACAATGGAACTTGCCCTGTGCGGGACTGCAGATATCCCCCAATAGAGTAGATGAACCTGACAGCCTTGCGCTTGTCCTGGATACTCCCCGTGGAGCTGAGCTGGTTCTCGATAACTCTCCTGACAGCTGAGGTAGAAACATAACAGAATAAGAAGCATACAGAGAAACATGCTGCCAACATCTGTAATTACTGGCATCTTAATACATGTTATAGTTGTAGTAACCATATCAACATTATGATAATGAAAATTGTTATCATTAAGATACTGATAATCACGATTGTGATAATTAGAGATTAATTTCCCCGCTGAGAATTTATGTAAATTTATGTATTTTATCAAGATCACATGGACCAATGAGATCTCATCATTCTGACATGGAGGTATGATAAAGACATTTGTAAAGAAATACAGGTACACGAGTTGAAAAATCTCCATCGGGTAATTACACAGTGGTTTATACAAATGTGTGTTTGAATTTGTTAATGCATATTTGTATGAAAGCAACTCAAAGTTAATTTATCTTGCATATTTTACAAAAATATGCAGCTTATCTGGAGCTCTGATGATGATTACTATAATCACGATAATCATAATGCATCTTCCCGAGGCAAGGGAGTTAACTGACTACAAAAGTCCAGTTTCCACCCTTGCCGAACTAGGCTGGTATTATGGAGTTACATCTTGGCTGGACTAACGAGTCTATGCATAGTCCAATCAAAATCGCTCAATGAAATCGAAATCCGGTTCGTAAACTGTTGTGCAGATTTCGGTCGATTACAGGATTTGCAAAGCATGTGCACCGCCAATCTTTCCCTTTTTAACATCAGTGACCCCTTTACTTTCATGCTTAATTTTGAAACAGTTTTGATTATGATGATAATGAAGATGTTGACTACATCCTACCTGGGTTTTCCACAACTACAGCACTGTTTCTGAATTGTCTCAGGTGGGCGTCCGGGATGCACTGCAGTCTCACGTTTGTGAGAATGTCTGGCAAGTCTGGTATTCTGGACATTGGGTCGTGCTCAAGCCAGCTGACAATGGCGTCAAGCACAACAGCCTCACCAGAAAATCCTAGGGTTAAAGGAAATTTAATTTATTATTACTTGCCCGTGAAGAGATCACCCGTTTTATAAGCATACAGCTGTATTACACATTGTGTAATATCAAAACGCGTGCTTATGTACTCTCGTAACATGTTTCACGAACAAATATTGAAAGCTCTCAACATCCCTTGGCTTATTCAACGACATTGCGTGTGGAGATGATAGACCACTGAGAGGAGCTAATGCACACTCGATGATCCCAGCAACCTTGCTGCAAGGCTGACGTCACATGGCATTGTTTCACTGATGGATCTTGCAACAAAATTCCACAAATTACGGCATTGGGTATTGTGACGAGATTGTAAACTTTGAGGTGCAAGGACCCGTTCCACAAGGCGATCGTATTGTAGCGCAACGACAGTCGTAAGTCTATGTTAAAGTATGTGAACTGCGATAACCTTAGCGCTACGATAATTTTGTGGAACGTATGCCTGAATTCTAAAGGTGGATGGTATAAATTCATACTTTCAACTTTTGACGCGTTTGAAGTATTATTCTGTTAAACTCAATTGGATTATGCTGTGGATTGTGTAGGTGTCAGCCTATTCACACTCAACAGTATAATTCTAAAAAATGTTATAAATGGCAAGTAATAAATAAAATACTTAACTTGCTCCCGTGTAAAACCAATTTTATGAAACTTGTGAATAGTTGTGGTATCTGACAAACTATTCACTCATTTCATAAAATTGGTATTACACGGGAGCTCGTTTAGTATTCTATATTTGTTTGCTTGTTGTTTAATGCCGCACTCAGCAATATTCCAACTATATGACGGCGGTCTGTAAATACTCGAGTCTGGACCAGATAATCCAGTGATTGACATCATGAGCATCGATCCACGCAATTGGGATACGATGGCATGCATTGACCAAGTCAGCGAGTCTGACCACCCGATCCCGTTAGTTGCCTCTTATGACAAACATAGTCGCCATTTATGGCAGCATGGGTTGCTGAAGACCTTTATAACATCGAACTTTATAACATATGTTTCTTGTCAGTTGAGATTTATTCACAAAAAATTACTCAGGTCACATCCCAAGTGTGTTTTCTTACATATACTACTCAAAAGATGTTAAAGCACACCTGATTCTTCCTATGACTATAATTAATCTGTCACGGCTGGTGGGTATTGCAACACACAGCCTTCCAATTGTGGGTGTTCCTTAATTTTTCCCAAGTATATTATTTAAAGACCTGAGCACCTTGCGGGAGAGAAGACTGAAGTGAGGGAGTCTGACCAACCTAGACACAAGTCTTCGTACTGCAGGATCCTGATGAGTGCATCGGTCTTGAGAGCCAGGAACTCCTCCGTGCGGGAGACGACAGGGAATCTCAGCTTGACCAGCTGTATACACTTCACCTGGAGCTCCGTGCACGCAAAGCTCTCCGCAAACTCCTGGATACCTACAGGGAATGTTCCAGAAAGTAGTCCCATATGCTGAAGACTTGGAGAGGGTTACATGGACACTCTCCCATTTCATAAAGAAATATTAGCGCTGAGATTTTCATAATCTATCTTACTTAACATGGACTTGCGATAAACATAGTTCTCTGATCACATTCAGAACAAGGGCCAGGGTGTTAGTACTTTGACTATCGTAACTAACAGTTTTGTACAAGCGGGCCAATTCCCATACAGCGATCCCAAGTATGATAATTATCCCCATTCTTTATTCACTCGCTTGATAAAGGGATCAGCATCTTTACCAAAGTGTCGCATTGAAAGAATAAAAGAATTTGAATTTGAATCATTTGAATTATGAAATATGGAATCCCAGATCCCCATGTGTGTTATGACAGTTGTGGCGCCAAAGTTATTTGGTCAAATAATTCCCTTTGGGATCTATTCCAAAAGTTGGATCTTACCAAAAGTATGATCACAGATATATGTCAGAGAGTCAGAACAACTGCTATTAGGGCTAGGTCAAAATTTACTACCCAGGTACCCACCCCCCTATCACCCGACCCTACCCAGGTACCCACCCACCTATTACCCGACCCTACCCGGGTACCTAGTGTAGGTCTCAAGAGATAGGTCAAAATGTCCACTTGGGAAATGTTTGACCATACTCCTGGCAAAATGTACTTAGATACACATATAAAATGATCTGGTCATGTATACACTGAAGTTGACTGAAGTTTTATCTTTATGCAAACATACAAAGTCGGAAGGAATGTGTGCATAGTCAGAAAGATTTGTGAATGTTTGTCACTTATAGAGTGACCATAGAGTTCTAGATAATTTTTGCCATTAAACAATATAATCACATGACTAGCCACGGGTCTGGGTAGTCTTGTTGGTACCCAGGTCCTACTCAGGACCAATCTCATTAAAATCAGATCTTAGTTTTCGCTACCGTTGAACAAAGATCTGAGGGCATCCAATTACGGGTCACGTCAGACCGACCTTGCGCGAACTTTGGAATGACCAATCAGAAGGCAGCTTTCTCGTGCTTTAGGGCACTAATTTCAAATTGGCGACTACGCTTTGAAACATATTTGGACAAATTCTCGAATATAAATTTGAAACCTGAACAAAAGAACATTCTGGAATGGTCTACATTGTATGGATTCAGTCGTTAAACCCGTAACTATTGTTTGGAGTTAAAGTTTTTGAGGTTGCATGATTAGAAATCACATTCCGACTGTCACTTTCATAATCTGGTAAGCGATGCTCTGATTGGTCAGATGAAAGGTCGTTAATTCTGACGTAACCCCTAAAGGGATGTCCTCAGCGATAGCGAGAACTAAGATCTGATTTTAATGAGATTGTACTGAGGACCCACCAGACCCACGTACTTGAGTAACCCATCCCAGCTCTAACTGCTATACTGTCAAACCGGCTACTCAAAAATGATCTATTCTGCTACAGTCTGGCTGGCTAGCAAAACAATACAAACACTTTGTTTCACAAATTACCAGTACCATATTCAACGTAGTAAACACCTAGGGCGCACTCAAAATTAGAAACAGGGGGCTCTTATTAGAATATTATTTTGGTGAAAAAAAACAGAGTTGAAAGATAAATTTTGTGGTTTATGCTGACAGCCTGAAATGTTTATGTACGACAGATACATTTTTCCAGAATTTAATTGCTCATGATTAAAGGTGCATATAACAAATGAGTACGTATTATATGCAAATAAATACGTCTTGTGTACATTGATCAATCGGAAGGGGTGCTATTTGAGATTGTTCACTTGCCAATATATTAGCAAATATCGCCATGGGCGCTTAGTAGAGCAAGGCGCTTATTACGTCGAATACAGTATATTTAGGGTTCACAATTCCTTATATTTTAGTACTGATGGCACAGCTAAATTCATAATGACATGGTTAAAACAAATGCTTCGTGCCTTATGGTCACATTTAGCATGTTTAGAAATCATATTTAAACAGCAATATCCTGCAGCATTAGGTATTCTGTACAGTAAACAATAGTACCTAGACAATTGGAAGCATCAATTTCCTTCTCAATAAACCCACAGCAGATCTTCTTGATATCAGACATCTGTAAGATGTCTGCAGACACCAGGAGATCCTGTACATTGTCTTTGGTCACTGAAACAGACGCATGTGTCATGAGTGCCAGTTCATGTAAGGCAATTCTTATGGGCAGTCTTGAAATTCACGCTGGTCCACTAGCCAGAGACTACTAACTTGTGCTAAGGACAAGTAAAAATCTAATGATGGTCGTCATCACTGACAAAGTAGCATTTGAGGGCTATAACTCTGTACCAATGCTCAATGACTCAATACGTCTTGTGACTCAAGGGCAGGTAACTCTAACCAGAATTCCTAAAAACTAATGTACAAACTGCACATGACCCACAATGCTCTTGTGTCTGTGCCTGTTGTCTGAATGTAAGATTACAGTAAACTACGGTTATAACGAATACGCTTATAACGAACTGACGGATACAATGAACTAACTTTTTTGGTCCCGACTATTTGCTGTATATATGCTTATAAAGAACTACGGTTATAACGAACTAAAATAAGCAGTCCCTTTGAGTCCCGTAGTTTACTGTATAAGACTTTGTTGTTTGTTGTGTGCAATTTAGACACAATCCAACTTAACATTTATGAGTTGCAAAAAATGTATATTTTAACACAAGGGAAAACTATTTTTTCCCTCCAAAACACAAAGACTGTAAATGTAATGAGAAAAAAAAGCAAGCTGCATAGTCACAACATTTTAGGCCAAACCAAAACCTAAAGACCAGGGCCGTGTTCCACAAAGCGATCTTAGCGCTAAGATGATCGTAACCCCCCATACTTTAACATAGGCTTACAATAGTCGTAGTGCTAAGATCGCTTTGTGCAAGTAGGTCCTGGGCAGTGTTCCTCAAAGCAATCTTAGCACTAGGATGATCGTAAGCCTATGTTAAAGTATAGGATCTTATAGTATTACGATCATCTTAGCGCTAAGATCGCTTTGAGGAACTTTGCCCAGAAATATAATACTTTTTTCTTGTGGCTTAAAAGTAGGCTGAAGATAAAAAGGGCCATGGCTCTCAAAGGTCTTATGGTATTTTAAACAGTTATTGGAATCTGTACAGACTACCACAATCCTGTACCTGTAAGGACGCCGGTGTACATGTATTCCACGAGTCGGCGCACAGCATCAATCCTGAGGTTGTCCATGGTGATACGGCCGGTCTGGGATTCCTGGAAGCCTGCTGAGAACATGGCTCGGAAATAGTCACTGTTCAGCGCCAAAACCAGACGATGGGCAGAGAACTCCTCATGATTGATCTGGAATTTCGAAAGACCTCTTATTATCATTAAAGTGAACCCCATAACACTATATGACCAACGCCCTAAGCTCTGTGTTATCATGGGAGATTTGAATGGCCATAACCCACTTTGGGGTAGTAGTGTCACAAATTAAAAAGGGAAATTCTTCAATGTATCTACATCCTGCAAATGGAACTTACTCTTGTCTAGACTTGTCAGTTGTAGATTCTAATTTGCTAAATGAATCTAAATGGCCAGTCCACGATGACCTCTCTGGAAGTGATCATTTTCCTACCATTTTACAATCTCTGTCACCATCAGATGTTCTCCATATCTCGAGATTCAAAGAGGTTAAAGAACCTCAAGTTTGTCGCCTTTTACGACAACCAATGGAGTGTTGGGGACACATTCTCCCGCGGGTCCCCACAGGCTTTGTAGAAGTCACCTGTTTTCACTTAAAACAAGACCAATTAAATAGGAACAGGTTTTAATGCTTCATTTTATATCATTGCAATAAATGCAATCTCAAAATACCTCTGAATTAAAGAAAATATGAAATTTTAAAAAATCCCAATTTTGAACACAATAACAATTTTTCCCAATTTGTCTACCAGGGGCACTTAATAAGAAATCCAAAGAATAATGTTATTGAAATGCCTTGAAACGAAACATAGTTGTAAGAGACAACAAAGAGTAGTCCCCCTTTAAACGATCAGGATCCAGCCATCACGGCCATGCTGGTGATGTTCTTCTCTCTTTGCTGTTGCTAATAAGCAGTTGATCATACAAATAACATTAAAGAACACAACAAACATTGTGCAAGATGCATGCACTACTTACACTTATAGTGACATCACATAGCTCCTGGCTCTTCCACAGCTCTGCCAAACCGGTTAATGTTTTCTGGCTTATTGTCTTGTTTGTAATTTTATGACCATCATTCATTTCTTTAATTACAAAGTTGTTGTGTTTCCTGGAAAAGAACAAAATAACAGTGTTTAATATTCATCTAACAAATGTTATATTTGGGATAACACATTCTCTGTAAAGTACAGATTCTCGTACTTTTAGGGGGGTTGAGTCCTGTCCGGGATTCAAACCCACTCTGGCTCGGATGGGACGAACATAACATTTGTTACATTTGACAACTTTCTAAATGGCATTGTGTGTTTAATATTCATATGAAAAAACTGCAATAATCAATTATTAATTCAATAACTTTTAGAATTATTTAGAAAAGGACTACAAACTGAAACACAAATATTATTTCAGTGCCTGTGATAGTGTTAGCACAACCCACGTATCATAAATATCGGAAGAACTGTTATGTCGGGGAACTTTTAACGTCCTATCCTTAGTTTCTTAGCGGTATTGTACGCCAATGAAGAGTTATCTTTTCTTGGATCCACATCGTTATTTCAATAATCTGTACAAGACTCATCAGATCACCTAATGTTAATCGGAATATGATCGAAAAGTGCTTACCCCGGTGGCATCGTGGCGATATGATGATTGTTACCGTAACTCTAAAATAAACGTAGTGGTGTTATCTTAGAGTCATCTCACTTCTTTGTTGATGTTTTCAAGACGACACCTATCGGTTATAAGATGCACGCCAGGGGCTGATAACTCTCGTACTAATTGCCTAAACTGGTTCCACTGTTGGTTCGCGACGCAAGCTTATCGCGATTTAGCTGAGTAACGATTTCTACTCCATCGTGACCAACTCGTCCAATATTCCGGGACAAGTGGAATGTAGCTTGTTGTAGGTTACGGAAACATACGAGTGGTGACGAATGATTGCCGCTCCAGGATGTACTGTTAATATATAAGTGTTGGCTCGCTTTCACAGCAGAGACCGTGGTTCGGTTCCAATATGACCACAGTTCGTTCAGACTCGTTTCAAACCCATTTTGTTTTTGTTTGAAGCGTCCGTTCGCTCTCTTCCCACAATTTATATCGCCATTATCATTCCAAACCTCTCTTATGGTACACAATTCAAGTGAATTCAAGTAAATCAAGTAAATTAATTATTCCTAGACCAAATCTCTCATATTACCGTATTCGACGTAATCAGCGCCCCGCTCTAATAAGCGCCCACGGCGTTATTTGCTAATATATTGGCAAGTGAACAATCCCAGTTAGCACCCTTTCCGATTGATCAATGAACACAAGACTTATTTATTCGTATGTAATACGCACTCGTTTGTTATATGCATCCTTAATTATGGGCAATTAAATTCTCGAAAATATATCTATCGTGTATAATACACACAGATTCTTCTTTTATATCATTTCAGGCTGACCACAAAATTTACAATCTTTCAACCTCGTTTTTAATCTCACTAAAATTATATTCTAATAAAAGCCCCCTATTTCTAATTTTGAGAGCGCCCTGGGCGCTCATTACGTCGAATACGGTAGTTTATATTTTTAGCATTGTTAAACAAATACAGTAAGTGTCCCTTAAGTGCTTGATTTTTCATCTGTGAGGTGGTCAGTTGTATTTCTACGACTTCGGAGATGGATGATATAAGTTTTGATACATGTATAATCATTGCGTCTCAATATTAAGGCAACAGGTTGAAAAGCTGACTGCGCCTACTGTACGTCATCTACTGTAAAGTGTTTTTGTAGGTGTCTAGAAGATGGTATTTCATTGTACAGACACACAAGCTATATGGAATTAAATTTCTGTATTCTTTGAGCGTTAGACAATAGGGTCCAGATTTAATTTTGCGCGGTTTAATTTACAGGTTATCTCTTCATAAGATTAACTGTGCTTTGTTTTGTTTGTTTATTGTTTAACGTCGCACTCAGCAATATTCAGCTACATGACGGCGGTCTGTAAATAATCGAGTCTGGACCAGGCTGTACAGAGATTGACATTATGAGCATCGACCTACGCAATAGGGGTACGTTGACATGCATTGACCAAGTCAGGGAGCCTGACCACCTGATCCCGTTAGTCGCAATTTACCACAAGCATAGTCGCCATTTATGGAAAGCATTGGTTGCTGAAAACCTAATCTTCCCCGGATCTTCACAGGTCCCTGACTGAGCTAAGAAAGTATAGTTTGACTGACCTCAATCACTATGCACGTTTGGTATCTTTTCCCACTTGACAGTCTATATGGAGAACAGCCTACAGGGAACGGCCTGATGTCACGGCTTTCGTAAGACCAGCTGCAGTTCTCCCCCTTTTGCCCTCTGATAAGGGAATTGTCATTATTTATAGCCCAGAAATGAATTTTCTGTTGGATATATGTAAAGCAAATGAAATCACCAAGCATTGGTGAACTCGATTGCATGTTCTATTTGCCAAGATGATGTGATACACTGTCGATGTAGTCAATCAGCGACAGGTCCCCAGTGACGAGCTTGTCTGAACCCTATGAATACACAATGCCATTTAGAAAGTGGTCAAATGTAACTAACACTTTCTTAGTAAAGTACAGATTCTCGTCCTTTTTTGGGGTTGAGTCCCGTCCGGGATTCGAACCCACACTTGCCAGAGTGAGGCACCTAATCGCCAGCACACAAAGTCAGCGATCTAACCCACTCAGCCACCGGGGCTTCCACAAAATGGAAGTCCGACAACTGGTAGTCTAGATCACGTACTTTGAGTACCCCTCTGACAAGTGTAAATTGGCACTGCTACCATGGCCGAAAGCTACACTTCTGGACTTCTTTCCCAAGATTTCAGTCGATTCCTTACTGTTCTGGGGCGGTCGGGTAGCCCAGTGGATAAAGTGTTCGCCCGTCACTCCGACGACCCGGGTTCGATTCCCGACATGGGTACAATGTGTGAAGCCCATTTCTGGTGTCCCCCGCCGTGATATTGCTGGAATAATACTAAAAGCGGCGTAAAACCCTACTCACTCACTAATGTTATTTGTATGATCAACTGCTTATTAGCAGCAGCAAAGAGAGAAGAACATCACCAGCATGGCCGTGATGGCTGGATCCTGATCGTTTAAAGGGGGACTACTCTTTGTTGTCTCTTACAACTATGGTTCGTTTCAAGGCATGAATAACATTATTCTTTGGAGGAAGAATGTGTCCCCAAATGTGTCCGGCGTAAAACCATACTCACTCACTCACCTTACTGTTCTGGTTGACACCTGTCTATTGGGTAACCATGGGCGCTTCAGAACAGGAGTTGTTGCAAATGGTTGACAACGTACAAGCCGAAGCAGGACCCTCACGCACTGACGTCATGCGAGGTCTTCGTTTTGTTTTCGTACCAGTCCGCTGATTACGGTATCATGATACCCTAGTTGAAGTCCTATGCTTTTGCAGGTCATGCCTGTCTAATGCATACCAATGATATACCATATTTACACCTCTGATGACCGTCTTCGTGCCATGTTATGCTTCAACAATGCAAGGACCGCCTCCGTGGTCTAGTGGTAGAGCGTCCGCCCGGAGAGCGGAAGGTCCGGGGTTCGATCCGGACGTACAACAGTTGAAACGAGTATTTATTTACAGGTGAGAACAGAGTCCAACTCTTCGTGGCTGATTGTCGAGTCCGTGGCCATTGTTGGAGGGAAAACGTTGGACACATTGTTGCGTTCAAGAGGTTGAACCATTTTGCGGTAGCAACGTCATGGTTTGGGGCGGGATGTTTAGACAGGTGAAGCCAGATCTGGTTGTGCTTGAAGGTAATCTGACTTCCCAAGGTAACAGTGAGCAGGTAATGCGCCCAGTTGTCCTGTCATATCTCCAGCAGATCCAAAGAAACTTGTTTCAACAGAACAACGCCAAACCTTGCACAGCATGTATTGTTACGAACATAAGGCAGGTCAGTAACGTCAACGTTCTTCCTTGGTGAGACCGCCTCCGTGGCCTAGAGTAGAGCGTCCGCCCGGAGTGCGGAAGGTTCGATCCCCGGCCGCGTCATACCAAAAGACCCTAAAAGATACTTGTTGTTACCCTGTCTGGCGCTCGGCATTAAGGAGCTAAAACAAGGACTGGACGGCTCGGAGTCAGTATACTGTGTCTGAGTGGGGTATTCATGTTAAACTGCGGCATGGTATCTCAGAGAGCTAGCACTATAAATCGGCATCAGTCCGGACTAGTACAAGCAGCTACACAAACACAGACACGTACATGCACGTCGCTATATAAGTGCAATAATCTTGGACGCGACGTTAAACCCCATTTCACATCTCCTCACCTCAACAATGCAAGACAGTCACGCCAAATACTCCCAATTGCGGTGTGTAGTTGCATGGGTGGCATGCTGCGCGTGCATGTCGCGCTGCGATGTGACGTCACAGTTGCTATTGTACTGTCCTATCATTTCGACGGAACATCTTTCTTGGCCTATTCATCACGAAATTTGCAGTTGTTGCAAATGGGGATAGTTCAAAATTAATTATTTCCAGAGGTGCTTATATATAATTAACTGATTGCTTTATGTATAGTTGTGGCCAAGCATATTCCCCCATAAACGTAGAACAGCATATGTAATAATAAATTTCGTTTATCATGTTGTATTTTGAAACAAGCCTGTTCTTACATGTCAATGACTCTTTAGAGCGGTAGTCCCCAAGACGGACTAGAAACACTTGTTTGACAGGTAGCATTACTATGATACGTCTAAATGTTAGAACAGCGCTTTTGAGAGCATTGTATTTTAGCTTCCATTTATGAGCATACTGGTCAGTCACATTCAATCGTCTTTTAAGATCTGTTGGATCATTACTGAGCAATGTTGTGAGTGAGTGAGTTAGTGAGTATGGTTTTACGCCGCTTTTAGCAATATTCCAGCAATATCACGGCGGGGGACACATGAAATGGGCTTCACACATTGTACCCATGTCGGGAATCGAACCCGGGTCTTCGGCGTGGCGAGCGAACGCTTTAACCACTAGGCTACCCGACCGCCCCGAGCAATGTTGTGTCATCTGCTAGTAGCTAGTGACATTGGCCACAGCCAGAAGCAACAAGTTAATCAATAGATCATTTATGTACAAAGAAAATAGCCAAGTAGATATGGCACGTCCTTGGCCCACACCACGTCTAATGTAAAATAGCGAGTGGGTGAGTTGGGTTTAACGCCGCTTTTAACAGTATTCCAGTTATATCATAGCGTGTCAGCTTAATGTGGGAGGAAAGCCCGAAGTGATGCAGGTCTCAGACGTTTACCACTTCGGTGAAACCAACGAGTACGGATTGTGCTGACAAGCCTAAAAACATAATCGGGGCGAACCGGGATTCGAACCCACAATCATAGGTTTCTGGCGTGCCAAAGGGACACAACTCTGCACAAGGAATTGCGGCGCCTTAGACGACTGGGCCACCAAAATGTAAAATAGATCAGACTTACTATCAATATACAATACAGTTAAGTCCTCTTTAGTTTCGTTATTCATAAACCAGTTGGAAGAGGACATCCAGAAGTGTGGTGGTAGAGGGATATTTGTACACGAGGATTTACTGGAATTGGTTCTTCTCTCATATGCGGATGACTTGTGTACAGAAGAAGATTGATGTTTTACACAAATTTTGAAACAAATGGGGTCTAAAGGTTAACATGGATAAAACTGATATTTTAGTTTTTCGTAATGGTGGTAAGTTAAGGAGCTACGAGAAATGGAAACTAGGGCATATGCCTGTCAAGGT